GTCGATGCTCACCTGTGGTCGAATGATGAATGACCTTGTCAGTCACCATCTGTTTGACACAGACATATATAGACCATTTGGCCAATACAACCTTTTCACCTGGATTGAACATTGAAATTAATTCGTAGATTTTAACATCTTAAATGTTTAACATGCAAAAATACGGTGACGAAATTGAAGCCGGTACTCCTGTGTTCTCGTATTTCTTCCTGGACCAGGAGCGCCAAATCAAGTGTCAATGGCCCATGTCTTGACCTTACTTGCTCCTAGAACATGATTTATCTCGCCTTTCGTTTCAACATGGTCATATCAATGAAGCCTAACCCTTAACAAGAGAGATAACTGTATTCAACGTATGTGTATTGCGAAGTGGGAAATGACAGATCGTGGCCGGAAACTAGCTCATCTGCCGGACATAAGAAAGTTACATCTAAGTTTGCGGGTGGCCAAGTAATAGCTGTTCAATGACGATACTTTTGACTCGAGTTGTAGTTTCGGCGACTGTTTTCAGTAATGTTTCGTTAGTAGGTTTAAAGAGTTTACGTTCATGTGCCCAGCAATTTCATTTCAAATTATGGAAAAGATATTTCTGTAATTTGTTATGAACTCCCCGCAATGCTAAAGCCCCACATGGGTACAAGCCCATCTCTGGTGTCCCCCGCCGTTATATTGCTGGAACAAATTAATATTGCTGAATGCGGCGTAAAGCTAAACTCACTGTCATATTTTACATTACAGCTACACAGTGTAACCAGAATCTCACAGCAGCGGATAGCAAGACGCTTCTAACTTCACCGGGTTATCCCATCAAATATGAACCGTACGTATGCATAAATGAATTTCATTTCAGCATTTGAGGAGAATAATGTACGGTAACCTAGTACATATGTATGCGTTTCTAGTTCCAGGGGCGGTGGGGTAGCCTAGTGGTAAAGCGTTCGCTCGTCACGCTAAAAATCCGGGTTCGATGCCCTACAATGTGCGAAGCCCATTTCTGGTGTCCCCCGCCGTGATATTACTGGAACATTGCTCAAAGCGGCGTAAAACTATACTCACTCACTCACTGGTACCAGATTCTATAACCATGTGTTCATGGAGAAACGAATAGTTGTTGTTTCTGTTGCTGAAATTTTAACTGGAGAATATTTTGATAATACTACCAATTTGATCATCTATTGAATATTTTTGGTAATGCCTTCTCACCGTCGACATATATACGACGGGTGGCACGTATTCAGATACACAAAATTGCATGGCGATTTATATGCTTCCTTCAGTATGAGGTATACGTGAATTGTGTTTCAGCTCAAAGATTTGCTGGTGGCTTATTCGTGCAGCTTTTCCACCCAGGAATGTCATCCTGGAAACAGTGGACTCGATGATAGAACCTTCAAGCAGCTGCGTTAATGATTTTCTTAACATATATAACGGTAATATCTGCATTTATATGGTTTGTTTGTTGTTTAACGTCCCAGTCAGCCATATTGCAGCTATGTGGCGGCAGTCAGTAATTAATCGAGTCTGGACCAGACAATCCAGTGATCAAAAGCATGAGCATCGATCTATCCATTTGGTATACAAGAACATGTGTCAACCAAGTCAGCGATTCTGACCACTCGTTAGTCGCCTCTTTCGACAAACACGGGTTTATAAAGACAAATTCTAACCCGGATCTTCACAGATAGCATTTATTCACTACGCAGGACTTAACTACATACAACACAGTCTCAACGTAAACTGTCATGCAAATGTTTCCTTGTTTGGTTTTGGTTAATCGCAATGAACGCCCATGTAATTCATGAATGAACTGAAGAAAAACTTGCACGAGAAAGAGGCATATATTTAAAACACCAATGGTGTTTTTTATCGAAATACAAAAAGTATTACGATACATTTACATTTTCAATTTTAAGCAATGACAATAATTCTTTAAATATTTAAAGATGTGTAATCAAAACCTCAATAAAGCTATAAAAAGTTTTAAGGAAGACATGTTAAGGACATTTGCACATTTTCCGCATCAGTGACGAAATGATGTCCGATGCAATTCCTTGTTTTGACTACATGATCCAAAGATTGTTTGTGAAAGATCGTCCAGACTTTGCACTATTTATGACTGGAGCATACAGGCAGGATAGCTCACTATTTCGCAGAACATCTGCTATCAATACTTTTTTGTAAGTGATTCATAAAACACTCGCTTCAGTCGGAATCGTAAATCAACTATGCTTTTGTCAGATATTTCTTATGGACGTGGAAACAGTAGTTTCGCTTGTATAATTTTACAGGTGACTCGAGCTCTGATCCTAAGCTGAACACGTTATGCGGAGACCGCCGAGTGTTCTTAGCGTCAACTGGACAGAACCTATACCTTGAATTTCGGTCCAACGATAATCGGGAGACAAGAGGCTTCCAGTTGCGATACTACCAAGGAACCGGTATGTTGTATCTTCATCAATCGGGATATATGTACTTGTAAGATGTTGAACACATGTTGCTGAAATATATATTAGAACATCATATGTTGTTCTCTTGCACAAATTTAGGTATATCGAACCCCTTTGCCTCGAAATAGGATATGTTATCTCGTTATCAAGGAGGTGTAAATAAACATAGAAATATATCCTAAATGGTAGTATTATTTGAAATTAAAATATAAGCTTAGAAGAGTTATGTAACATAAAACCGCGACTTCCACAAAAGTTAAAGTCGGACAACTGGTAGTCTAGACTGCGGACTTTGTGTGAATTGGCACGGCTCCCACGGAACTCAACCCCAAAATGTACTAGAATTTGTACTTTACTAAGAAAGTGTTCTCCCAAATATAAAATATGTTACATTTGATCACTTTCTAAAGGCACTGTGTAATATTAGAAGAGTTATGTCCCTTTGTCTGCGACAACAATAATGGTGAAACGCGTCGCGTCCCATGAAGAAATAAGAGAGAAGCAATTCAAGAATAGCTGTATTATGATATTTGCTAGAATCTTGACATTAAAAAGATCTCAAGGGTTATAAATTCGTTTCACGGTTATGTGGAGACACGTTGGAGTCAGTGTGTACTCTGAAGAAGCTTTAAGCTGCAGATGGTACATGTTGCTGTAACTGGGATAAACCAGGGGCCCGGTCCATATCTGATGCTTTAGAGGGGTGCGGCTTGTATAGTGGTCTACACTGTGCAGAGTGGTGTCCTGTAGTCGGACCAGGATTCCATGATATGGGGTTCAAATCCCAGAGTGAAATGCACATGGAACTCTTCAAAGTGCACGCCAGCAACCTCCGCCAGTTTGGGTTTCCTCTCACTTAAGGTGGCTACCACGTCCGTCATGACATGCATAGGCAGATCCAGACGGGGGTGGGGTTGCAGAGGTGCGTCTCCTTCCCCCCCCCCCACACTTTGTCCTGAACGTTTATTAAATGACCATTGAAAATCACGTGAAAACGGCTGAAAATGAACTGTGCACCCCCCTCCACTCCCCCTATCTTCAAATAGCTGTATACGCCAAAGTCACAGGTGTTCAGAAACCGTGTTGTAAGCGGAATATAAAACAAACTCAATTACATTCACCATTTTATGTTAAATTTAATACATATAAAGTAAATCTATATTTGTGCATGTATATGAAGTTGATGACAAAAGCATTGAACAGTTATATTTTTTTACCAAAAAGTGTCATATTTTCATAATATGCAAATTAAACAATTTTGCTTCGTGATCAAATGATCCTATTACTTTGAAGGAGCATCCATCTGCACGTCCACGTACAGCGCTACACGGGACAAGAAGGTCCTTACCACTCCAGGCTATCCTGGATCCTATTATCCGTAGGTATTACTACCGTGAGGTGTGACTCCAGGTCATGATATCAGATTTTAGTAGTTAGGTTATACATTTGGTCATGACATCTCTCCACAAATTAGTGAACATCACCACATCTGTTCTGTAGTTGTTTAAGACCATACTCAGCAACGTTCCAGCAGTGTGACCTTGGCTTGTAAGGGACCGTTCATAATTGATGGCTACGGGGTGGAGCGTGGGGGTGTTGATGATGATTTTTATGGAGAAAAACATGTACAGTGTGAATAACCCCCCGCAAGATTTATGTACAAAGTAAGTGACCCCCCTGCATGTCATGTACAAATCAATGACGACCACCTTAGTATATGTATACAAAATTAATGACCCCCCTACCTTCCCAGAACAAAATGGGTGACCTCCATTAAACCCTAAAATTCATCATATCACACACACACACACACACGCACGCTTATGAACGGTCCCTACACACACACACACACACACACACACACACACACACAATTGACCATGACCTTCAGATCCATCATTGTCCAGAAATCGTTAATGTTAACCACCAATGTTCGCTAAATTTAACAGGTAAAACATGTATCCAAGATAAGCATTACGTGTAGACTTAAATGTATAAAGATATAACTGTATTCATATGATTACTAACGTTATAAGATTTCATTACTCTTTAACCAATAAAACCTAAGGCTGTGGAAACTTGTTTTAGTAAGATTTAGGATTTATACCAGTTTTTGTTGGTGTGAAGAGAATGATACAATAATTTCGAGCTCAAAACTCTTGAATGTTTTGTGTTTGTTTTCAGTTCTTTATCTTGTGAATACACAATTCAGGCATGGAATTCGAGTTACAGACTTCAGTTGGACTTCACAGACATTGATATTCAGTCATCTCAAACATGCAGCTATGACAAAGTAACCGTAGCAGATATAGGTAAATATGTTATAACGTCGTGCAATAGAGTCGTCATGTATGTAGTACTGTCTTGATGCTGACCAGAAATGCGAATCTACTTTAGTAAGTAAATATCAATAACTTGTGATTTTTTTCACTGTCAGTTGCTTGCATACTTTAACAGTATATGACATGTACATTGGTGTACAATCACACGTTAATTGTCTACTCGCTTCATTCACTTTGGTATAATTATCTCCCTTTTCAGCTTCAGGAGGCGCAGTTCAGACACTGTCTACAATCTGTGGCAGGCAGACCGCCAGCTTTCAAAGTGGAGGCTACAGCATGAAGATCACATTCACCACGGATACGCAGAAACAATAAAGGATTTTCCGCTACTTACAGGAGTGTGCCCAGTAATTATCATTTACACTGATATGTTTAAGAATAAGGTGTATGTATTGATGTTTGTGTTGCGTGAGTGAGTGTGGTTTTACAATATTCCAGTAATATCACCGCGTGGAACACCTCAATTGGGCTTCACACATTGTACCCATGTGAGAACTCGAACCCCGGTCTTTGGTGTGACAAGCGGACGCTTTAACCACTTGGCTACCCCACGGCTCATGATGTTTGTGTAATTCTACTTCTTTAATATTTGTGTCATCACTGACGCAATGTAACAGTAAACTCTGATTACTTTTGACCATGGGCCATTGTGTTGGTATACTCCATTCAGCTATAAACAAACGCTATTCCACAACTTTGACCTCATTAGTGTACATTTTTATCGGATCGTTGTACCAAATTCACAGGACCCAGCCATAACACGTTTCCACCTACTTCTTCAAGATGGCTTTTAAATAGAACTCCTTTTTCACTCTTACTGTGTTTTTACAATGTATGCAGCACCGTTGAGCATCAGTGATGAAAAGTAGGCGCTAAACAAGCCAATAATCATTATTATTATCATTATTTATTATTATTTGACATTTCCATTTAACAACAATACATGAAGCATTTGTATTTGTGTTTACAGAGGAAGACTGTACACTGATTCTACTGGCTACAGACATGGATTCGTACATCCAGTCCCCAGGTTACCCAACGTCGTACTATAGGTAAATAATAGTATTATCTTTGTTCAAACAACCTCCATCGCTTTGCGTCACATCGGCATTATTCCAGCCATATAGTGACGAGAACAAGTCCGGATAACTTGATAGATGAAGTAGGAGATATTCCTACGTGTGCACCCCTTGCTAAATGCATCTTCCTTCAATTGTACCTTCAGTTTCTTTGTGAAACTATCGCCTTTGTCCTTGCAGTAACTTGAATTGCAAATGGAATATCCTGGCGGAGGATAACGATGCTGTGATCGAACTTGTCACTGTCGACTCCAACATCGCCGACACCTCACCTTGCAGCAGTGACAGAGTGACTGTGACGAACTGTAAGTCTGAGTATTTCACATCTGTTCTCAACAGTGGAACTACAGAGTAACAAGAGAAGTGCCACCTTGAATCTAAATATATTGTTACACAACGACATACTCCTGTTACAAGGTGGTGCGCAAATTGTCTTTCATTCATTGTCATCTGAACTTAACCTCCCGTATTTGTATCATATATGCTAACATCTATCGGTCCAGTATGTGTGTTGATAGAGTTATTACGTGTATATAATTATTTTATTACACTTGCTGTGAAAGATTCTATAGAGATTATTCCTTGTTTTTGCATATTTTCAATAAGCTAATAAGACGGAACTTGGGACATTCTGTGGAACGAGCAGACCAAGGTTTCAGAGTACAGGACCAAATATGACTGTTGTCTTCACCACTGATGGAACCAACCAGGCAACAGGGTTTCGGCTGAAATACAAACAAATATCTGGTATGTGTAGTATCACAATGAATGATATGAGAGTAATAATAGAATCAACCAAATGTGTGAAGATCTAACTTAGGAATCATCTGGCTTCATGGAATGAACAATCGTATCAGAGAATAGACAACCTCACCCTGCCTTGTCGTTTATATTAAAATAGATTATAAGGGTGGGCTTGGTTTGATTAACGAGATGATTCGTCATAGCAGAATTATATTGTACACACGTATATTGACTTGTGATTCTTTTGGGACACATTTCAAAACTCAAGATCAAAACAAGGCATTCCACAGTTTTCGTAAACGAGCCTGGGATTTTGGACACAATCGCAATATCAGTGTTGATTTTCTGATGGTTCCGTATTGCTGGACGGTTCAGAAAGGTAACTGCCATATCAAACCAGCACAGCTGTTCAAGGGAATACTCTCTGAGCAACCGATACACCGAGGTTTTGGGCAGTGGGATGTGAGTGAGTTTACTTTTACGCCGCTTTTAGCAATATTCCAGCAATATTACGGCGGTGGACACCAGAAATGGGCTTCACACATTGTGCCCATGTGGGGAATCGAACCCGGGTCTTCGGCGTGACGAGCGAACGCTTTAACCACTAGGTTACCCCACCGCCCCTTATGTGCAGTGAATTTGGGAGACATTTGACCTGAATAGTGAAACAGCAGGCCTTCTGTTTGCTGCTCAGAACCCTCACTTTCCATTCGTAGCCGTCAGTGTATTGTTTTACATCGTATGCATATATGAAATGTAGATTATGTACTACAGTTAGCAAGACTGTTATACACTATGTCAGTGGATGCTCAACATTTACACAATGTCTTAAGCGACATGATGGCGCGTTCCTTTCATTACCATCCACCCATGATATTAACTGCGAACAAATCTCGGTAAAAGTCAATACTAACACTGAATAAAACACCATAAAAGTTTAGATATAAATAACTTATTCTGCTAGTGATGAACTGATGACCCTCCATGTTTGGTACAGGTACCATACCGACATGTGGAACCCAATCGTTAACCGCCAATGCCAGCAAACACTTTTCGTCTCCAGGGTACCCCAAAGAAAATTTTACGTAAGTTTTGTTTACATTTTATGGTACAATTTACAAAGTGTGACAAATAATGAAAGCTAAATCTAGATCAACATCCACTGAATGATGTTCTATACAATCGTATTTATTAGAAATGTGTGATAAAATGCACTATCTAACTCATAAAATTCACTTTGAAAAATCCCTGAAATACGAATAAACAGTGTTTCAATAATTTCTCACACGTGAATATTGATTGTGCGGTTTTAAAAGAAACGAGTGTTCATGTACCTCAGGAATTACTAGCAGGCATACACAATTCTATGTGGATGTTTCAGGCCACAAACATGCCGCTGGACAATTTCAGCATTGAATCAAAGATTTGTCCGAATCTATCTTCTTGATTTAGACGTGGAGGTTGATGGCGCCGACAGTCTCAAGATATACGACGGTATCAAAGTTTACATTTACACTGTCTGTGTCAAGAGAAATCAAATAAGACTCTTTTACATGAGATTGAACTATTATTACTTGAGTTTAGTTCCCTTGATTGACCCTCTTCACCTATTGCCATACCATTACAAAAAGAACAATGTATGTCATTTTATTGACATGTATACAGATGTTTGAGAGTGGTTGACGTGTGTACAGATGGTTGATATTTAGTTTGACATGAATACAGATGGTTAAGAGTGGTTGACATGTATACAGATGGTTGATAGTGATTCATATGTGTACATATGGTTGGTAGTGGTTGATATGTATACAGATGGTTGATAGTGGTTGATATGTATACTCATGGTTGATAGTGGTTGACATGAATACATGTGGTTGATAGTGGTTAACATGTATACATATTGTTGATAGTGGTTGACATGTATACAGATTGTTGATAGTGGTTGACATGTATACAGATGGTTGATAGTGGTTGATATGTAAACAGATAGTTGATAGTGGTTGATAGTGGTTGATATGTGTACAGATGTTTGATAGTGGTAACTGGTTGACATGCAATAGATGGTTGATAGTGGTTGACATGTATACAGATTGTTGATAGTGGTTGACATGTATACAGATGGTTGATAGTGGTTGATATGTGTACATATGGTTGATAGTGGTTACTTGTAGACATGCAATAGATGGTTGATAGTGGTTGATAAGTATACAGATGGTTGATGTTAGTTGACATGTATACAGATGTTTGATAGTGGTTGACATGTATACAGATGGTTGTGAGTGGTTGACATGTATACAGATGGTTGATGTGTATACATATGGTTGATAGTGGTTGACATTTATACATATGGCTGAGAGTGGTTGACATGTATACAGATGGTTGACATGTATACAGATGGTTGATAGTGGTTGATATGTGTACATATGGTTGATAGTGGTTGACATGTACACAGGTGGTTGGTAGTGGTTGACATGTGTCAAGATGGTTGATAGTGGTAACTGGTTGACATGCGTGAGACAGGACATTGCAAACAAATGTGTTGAACTGAAGACTGAAATCAACAATTTTGTGTGTTTGAAATTCCATAGATTTGTATTTAATCTACCAAATGACTTATTTCTTGTTTGTATATATGTTCCCCCTGTGAATTCTACATTTTACGACCGAAGTACTGATACAAGATGTCTCATTGAAAGACTGGAGTCGTTTTTATTAGACAACTGGTCTGATATGTCTACTTCGCATGTACTGCTATGTGGCGATTTTAATGCTCGTACTAGTAATGAAAATAATCCTATTTGCGAAGATCGGGATGAATTTGGTAATGATGATATCTATACAGATGTAGATAATGCTCCTGTTGACCAGCGTGTGTCACATGACAGTATCGTTAACAGATTTGGGCGTGTACTACTGAATCTGTGTTATGTGTGTCGCTTGTTCATAATGAACGGTAGAGTAGAAGGAGACAGAGGTGGAGAGTTTACATTTGTTGGAGCAAATGGCTCAAGTGTCGTTGATTATTTTCTTGCATCTGCTGATTTGTTTGAGTTCGTAGAAAAGTTAAATGTTGGCGATAGACCTGATTCTGACCATTTTCCTCTGGAGTTGTCGTTCAGGTTTCCTTGTACATACCGGTCTAACCGGACAGTTGATTGTGCTAAGACTCCTAGTTTTAGTAAATTTGTATGGGATGCTTCTAAGCAGAATGAATTTATAAGTTCTCTCAAAGCAAGTTTGGATGCCAATAATGAGTCAATATTTAGTAAATTGGAGACTTCTCTTGAAGAGGGCATAGACAATTTCATAAAGTATATATTAGATTCAGCATCTTGTATGAGGAGACAGTTTAGACAAGGTGATCTAAATCGTAAACTTAAATTTAACAAGGAGTGTAATGTAGCTAGATCGGAATCAAGGAAGGCTCTTGGGCGGTTTAGGCGTTGTCGCACTGAGCAGAATCGTAGGAGCTATTGTAAAATTAGAAATAAGTATAAGAGTTCCTGTAGAGCTTTTAAGCGTGGAGTGCAAAACTCAAGGCTATGTCGACTAAATAGTACCCTCCACAGTCCTAGGCTGTTTTGGCAAAATATTCGCACCCTACAAAGAGGCTCCCCACCCGTATCAAGTATATCACAAACAGAATGGTTTTGCCACTTCAGGGACTTGTTGTCTAAGGACGATATTATCTATGATGTACATGATGACACAATAGATACAGATAATGGATGTGACGAGTTTAGTGATGTTGATAAGTTTCTACTTGAGTCTCCTATTACAGAATTAGAAATAGTTGATGCTGTATCTCGCCTTAAAGTTGGAAAGTCTGCTGGTGTGGATGGTGTTATTTCAGAGATGATCAAAACTGCCTTGCCTGAGATAATGCCGTTTCTAGTTAAAAGCTTTAATCGGATATTTGATTCTAGATGTTTTCCGTCTGAATGGGCTAAATCAATAATTGTTCCATTATTTAAGAATGGAAACATAAATAACCCTAACAATTATCGGGGCATATCTCTGACAAGTGTTGTTGGTAAAACATTTGTATCTATTATCAACAATAGGCTAACACAGTGGTCAAATATGAGGGACTTGATCCCAGATTCACAAGCTGGATTTAGAAAGGAATACTCAACCTTTGATCATATTTTTACTGTATACTCAGTAATTGAGCGATGTTTAGCTTTTAGTAAAAGAAAATTGTATGTAGCCTTTGTTGATTTTAGAAAGGCTTTTGATTCTGTTGACAGAGATAAAATGTGGAAATGTCTTAGAAATAGGGGTCTTAAAGGGAAAATGTTTGATATTATCAGGTCAATGTATTCAAATGTAAAGTCTTGTGTTCGATGTGATGATGCTTTCAGTGACTATTTTGATTGTCCTACTGGTGTACGACAAGGCTGTGTTCTAAGCCCCATACTTTTCTCATTCTTTATCAACGAACTATATTTTGACGTTATACAATCTGGCAGACATGGCATCCAATTATTTCCTGATCTTGTTGAACTTTTTATTTTACTTTTGCCGACGATGTGATCCTTATGTCAAGTACTGTTATTGGCCTTCAGAGACAAATTGATACACTTTCATCTTATTCAGATAACTGGCGACTTGATGTTAATCTTGAAAAGACCAAAATTGTTGTTTTTCGTAAGGGTGGCCCAACGGCAGCTACAGAAAAGTGGTACTTTAAATGTGAGCGTATGACTGTTGTTAACGAATATAAATATCTAGGGATACTGTTTACACATACACTAAATCTGAACAAATCCATTATTAATTTGGCAACTAGAGGGAAAAGGGCCCTACTTCAATTGCTCTCTGTTATACCAAAGTTGGGGGTTGTTGGTCCCAATATATTTTTCAAATTGTTTGATTCCCAAGTACAGCCTATTCTTCGTTATGGGTCTGAAATTTGGGGCAATAAGGAATTTTATGCCATTGAAAAGGTTCACCTTCTTGCATGTAAAAGGTTTTTAAATGTTGGGATGTCTACCCCTAATAATATGGTGTACGGTGAATGTGGGAGATTTCCTTTGTACATAATTTCTTACTCTCGCTGTTTAAAGTACTGGTGTAAAGTAATAAATATGCCAGAACATCGTCTGCCCAAAAAAACCTACAATATGATTGTCCATCTTGATAATATTGGTAAAAATACTTGGGCAACCCGTATTCGTATTCTTTTGTTTAGATACGGCTTTGGATTTGTTTGGCTATCCCAAACCCTGGGCGACGTTAATGCATTTATCAAACTATTTCGTACCAGGGCTATTGATATCTTTAAACAAGACTGGCATTCATCTTTATATGAAAGTTCAAGATATGATTGCTATCGTGAGTTTAAATCTTTACTTGAACCTGAGTCGTATCTATACAATTTACGTAGTAAAAAGCTTCGTAGTGTTTTCATGCGCCTGAGACTTGGCCTAAATGATTTATATATCAATCAAGGAAGATATTCATCTATTATAAAATCACAAAGGTTCTGTCCATTTTGTAATACTGTAGAGAATGAATTACACTTTCTATTTCTTTGTCCTGCATATAATGATTTAAGGCAACTGTATTTTCCGCAATGGCTACAATCAAATATTAATGCTACAAAACTGTATTCAATACTTTCATGTAAAGCATCCCTATTACAATATAAGGTAGCTCTATTTATTTATCACGCTCTTATATTGAGAAGAGATTCAATGTAACGTGTGTGTCGCATGTTGTATATGTTGTACATATCATACATATTTATTCTGTATATGGGCCTCTGGCCTTCATGCAATAAACTGATACATGCAATAGATGGTTGATAGTGGATAAAATGTGTACAGATTGTTGATAGTGGTTGATATTTGTACAGATGGTTGATATTAGTTGCATGTTTACTGATGGTTGATAGTGGTTGATATGTGTACAGATGGTTGATATTAGTTGACATGTATACATATGGTTGATAGTGGTTGATATGTATACAGATGGTTGATAGTTGTTGATACGTGTACATATGGTTGATAGTGGTTGATATGTGTACATATGGTTATTACTGGTTGATATGTATACAGATGGTTGCTAGTGGCTGATATGTGTACAGATTGTTGATAGTGGTAACTGGTTGACATGTTATAGATGGTTGATAGTGGTTAACATGTGTACAGGTTGTTGATAGAGGTTGACATGTGTACAGATGGTTGATAGTGGTTGATATGTATAGAGATGGTTGGTAGCGGTTGACATGTAGACAGATGGTTGATAGTGGCTGACATGTATACAGATGGTTGGTAATGGTTGATATGTATACAGATTGTTGATCGTGGTTGATATCTATACAGATGGTTGATAATGGTTTATATGTATACAGATGGTTGATGGTGGCGCTATTTGATTATCCGCTTATGTCCGCAAAGCCTCGTCAGTTGACCGCAGTCAGGTAATGGGAAATGATTGTTTGTGGTATATCCTTTATTTCACAGTTTCTATGACATCTCGTTTCACCCAATCATTATAGGTCGGATTTATCGTAATAACATATTTGTAAGACTTTGTCGATTTTCCCCATGACATGACCATTGGTGGCACAAACATTAGCTTGCTAGAAATACAAACTTACGAATTACCTGCCTCTTGCGAATTAATATTGAAAGTTCAACGCCAAGGGTAGGAATGAATGAAAGGTTATAGCAATATTATATGTATCGGCAAGGTACCTACACAAATTCACACGAGACAGGTATTACGTATGTCCTTGTATTTCTCATGTTTAAACACACTGTCTTCTCTTATACACTGTATTTTCTGTTTGATGAAACAGGGTCTTCTACTTCCAACATACTGGCAACACTGAGTGGCCGAGTAAACGGTTACTGTTTACAAAGCACAGGACGTGTGATGACTGTTGTCTACCAAACTGATGACACCAACAACGGAAAAGGTTTCAACATCTCATACAGTCAAACATCGGATGATAACGGTAAAGTTGTACTTGAAATGAAAATATACGGTTTTATCGTACTAAGATTTCAATGGACAATCGAAGTCAGTATTATTGAAGGCTTGATCTTATTATTATAATAATTAACCATATTTTTCATGCAACTACAATCGTTTGTTTGAAAATTACAACCAATAGATGAAAACATACTCGTACCAATACTTATAATTTGTATACAAAATATCTTGTTTGATGAACTTGATTACAAGAACATGCTTGTCATTTATTTTAAAACAGTTAGTGTGATCCTTAAGCGTCATGACAAAAGTCTATACATAATGTACAAAAGTTGCAGTTATCTTTGAATATAATGTGAGCGAGACATAAGTCATATAATTGTTGAATGTGAAGGATATGTAGTATGGTAGTTTTATGTTTTCTTGCAGATGACAGTTGTTCAAGCTATGGCTTTATTGCTGATTCTACGTATTCCTACTTTTTCTCCCCAAGATACCCGTTGCCTTACCCGGGGTATGAATTCAAGTTGTTGGTTTTAACGCCATATGCTCAAACGGAATTTCACACTGCTCTGTGCTGCTTAATGTTTGTTAAGCTTTTAAACTCAAACTAGAAAGTATTTCTTGTTACAAACTGCAAACGCGTTCTGTATATTCTACCACTCTACTCTGCGATCTACCTGATAACGTAAGGTGATTGTGCAATATCTATTGAATGAGTATAAACAGTATTTTTGTTTTCTCATCTTCTGCAGTAATTCGGAGAAACCTACATACACACTAACCACCAACTATCACTATCGAATCAAACTCGAGGTAATGAGTTCAGATCTCCCTGCAGAAGTAAGCGGCCAGTGCACACGTGACTATGTAACTGTTTATGACGGTGAGTGCATTAACCCTTTCCATTTCAAGTAAGCATCGTCTCTTTTAACTGATCCATGAGCATGTATCACAACAAAGTCGTGTTCACAAACAACCCACGATGCAATAAAGATTGTCTTGGGACCGGTTCTACAACTCTTTCTTGGCGTTAAGACGACCAAAGCTCTTATAGTTGAACTCGGTATAACATCGTTGTATGCCACGATCAGTTCGTGAAACAGGGCAGTGAACTTCAACCAGTTTAGACTAACGCTTAGTCCCTGAATATTATGATTTTGACAGTAACAAGTAAACCCATTTTAATTGAAAATAGCCTCAGTGAGTGTGGAGATTCATAACCTGGGAAAATCTGGACTTGCTTCACTTAGGGCTTTATCATTGCAGGCAGGGCCAGGCAGTAGGGATACAATGTGACTGTGAGACAGACTATAATCAGTTATGCCTTCCAATATACAGTCGTAACTTTCGATCTTTAATGCTTCAGATGTTATTGGTATGTTTAAGTTTCAGATTTATACTGAGTTGTTTTGCTCCATTATTCATTAGGTATCCGTAACTGGGATTAACCTTCAACCATTAAAACCCCATACCTGTAGGAATACCTTTCATGGGAAATTCCAGTGCTCGGAGTTGTTTTACACTCTAATGTCCGAAGTGAAATTGTCAGAATATTCATTCATTATATTGACCTTCACGCTCCAACGCAGTTACCTAAATGGTTCTGGTTATATCCAGGATACCAAGCAACCTCGATGCCACTGAAGTCGATTAATACCCAGAAATCCCGGCTCTGTGGTACTGACTTGCCGACGTTTGTTAGCTCCAATAACGTGATGCTAGTGGTATTCCACACAGAAGGTACACCAACAAACTCGGGCTTCCAGATGAGATACAAGAGTGGAGCGTTCACAGGTATTGTACATCACTTGTGTGTGATACTTTAGTGAATCAAATGTATAATCATTCATTATTCATTCATTAGGCGTGTTACACATGTCATAGTGTCCGAATTGAGAAGATCGATGCTTATGTTGTTGATCACTGCATTGTCTGTTTCAGATTCGATTACTTACAGACCGCCGACATATGACTTTATTGCTGAGTGCGGCGTTAAACAATTCATTCATTCATTCATTCATTCTACTGGCATATCGCAAGAAAGACTTTCCTAAGTCCAAGTAATGTACAGTCATGTTTTATGCTGCAAAGGCCCTAATCAGCCACCATACAAAGGTGCAGGTGCTTGAGAATGATATTTTCATTTCCTTACCGTTCATCTCCTCTGGAATCATACATATTTCCATGTTTCTGTTGAGTAGATGAATACGTACCTCAGTGTGGTGGATCTCTGACTGCTACCGATAGTGCCCAAAGCGTTACATCTCCCAATTACCCAAACAGTTACGACGGGTAAGTGATAACTTAACAACCAATCATGCATGCACATATCCTTTTGTCTCAAACATGCATACATCCTCTTGTCTTAAGAATTACTTTTCGTCATAAAAAGATACCTAGCCGTTACCTATCACCATCAGCTATTTTTATGCATTTATAGCTAAATATACAGAACAATTTACCTTTTCAAAGCTACCTTATGCTTAGGTCATTAGATGATAGTGGTAGAACAACAAGGGCATCAAACTTTAAAGTCTTCTTTTTAATTCTGGTTTTGGATATGTTTGGTTTAGCCAAGATGCTGGTGATGTAAAGATGTTTATAAGCTTATTTAAAAGATATTTTAAAACAGTACTGGTACTCTTCCCTGAGTAATTCCTCAAACTGCAACTATCATCAGTATTTTAAATCAGCGTTAAATGTTGAATGTTATTTATCGTTTAACCTTGTACACATTTAAGAGCTGTTTTAGCACAATTTAGGTGTAGCAATTTTAAAATAGCTGTAGAAACTGGGCGTTATAACAACACTGATTATAATCAAAGATTTTGTACATCATGTAAATCTAAAGGTCTTACCTATATTGAAGATGAATTTCATGTACTGTTCATTTGTGAATCCTATTCACAACTAAGAGAGAGGTAAGCCTTATACATATATTCTTTAGCAAATATTTTCAAGAATACTAATGTAGGCACTGTAAAATCCGTTGCCTTGTATCTATTTTATGTTAAAAGGATTATTATAAACCCACTTGAATGATCATTGTGCCCCTGACTACACTGGAATTTCCTTTTGGATGTATTTTTGGCCTACGGCCTTTTACTGGAAATAACCTCTGTCTGTCTGTCTACACAGAACAATTTCATGTTTATCTCGAATACCACTGGTTCTCCCAGTTTAACGGAGCTATCCAGCTGGTAACAACGATGGACATATTGTATCCCCCTGTACCCTGTACATGTGTATTGCAGCTGATGTGGACATTTGAGCGTAAAATAACATTCACTTACTCATTTACTCGCCCTCTACATTCAAAACAATTATTGTTTTTGGTGTGATGTGAATACATATAGCATTTAGTTCAGGTAGTTGAATGATATATAACATGTGACATCTGTTTGACGTCTCTTCGTCTCTCTTCGTCACTAGGAAAATCCGTTGTACTTGGACGATAACAGCATCAGATAGGACCAAGTACGTCCGGCTCACCGGAACTGAGTTTCAACTTGATTCCACGTTCGTTGGCGAATGTCAATACCAGTCTAGTAATCTGAGAATTAGTGACGGTGAGTTATGTCGCCTACAGCAACATGACATTATATGTCCGTTATTTTTCATGCAGAGTATAAACGAATTCTGTTTATGAATTAACTATAGAAGCATGGTATTATGTGTCCGTTATTTTCCATGCAGAGTGTAATCGAATATTGTTTATGAATGCACTTAAATATGTTCTCAAGTTCTCAGTGGTGAGATGAAGTGAAATGGCTTTAACCGCCACTTACAATATTATGTAACTTATAAAGCAACGGGATGCACGCGTGAGCGCTAATGTCTGTTTTAAAGTGACAGAGATATAAATGCACCGTTCAAAGGAATACCCTACTTTTATACATAATACCGACCTGGTGAGGCCAGTCCGTGTTCTATTCCCTTATCAACGAGTGCCAGGCAAGGTATCCACAAATACTATATTTTAACTTTTATTAAAACAAAGTTCTATTGTCAACTGAAATACCTGATTGACTCAAGGTTCAGACACGTCTTAGTTAGATGAACGGTTTCAGTTCATTCATGTGATGACATGGAAGGGAGGGGGCTGAACTGTTTAGTTTGTGTTCCACCTCTTCATCTCTTTGCTCGTATTTCTGTTACAGGAGCAAGTGATGCGGCACCCAGTGTCTGGGAGTGTGGAAACCTGACGTTGATACAGCGGCAGAGTACATCCTACGTAATGACGTTGTTGCTAAGGGCTGAGGGTACTTACAGAGGAATGAATCTGCAATACTTGCAAACAAGAGGTGACTACTCTCGATAATACTTGCAAACTAGAGGTGACTTTGCAAACTAGAGGTGACTACTCTCAATAATACTTGCAAACTAGAGGAGACTACTCTCAATAATAATTGCAAACTAGAGGTGACTACTCTCAATAATGCGACTAGTATCCAAACTGATTTTCTCGAATTACAGGTTTAACAATTACTCATAGTGATGTCACGGACATATACCAATGATATAATGGGACAACGAACATTCTTTAAGAAAAGATTTCTTGAGTGATCAGAAAGGGTTGAAAGAATTTAAGGAGACCACTTATTCATACTGATTGTTTATATGATAATCTTCAAGTGAAGCATGAACTAATTTTGAGAGTCACGTGGAGAAATATGTGGGGTGTATGACTGACGTTTATGCCGTTTATAATTAAAAGTAGTATTCCAGGAAGATCACCACTATAAACGGGTCTTATACACTCCAACCATGTTAAAGTCGAACAAAGACTTTCAACATGATGAGCAACGCTTTCTTATTGCTCAGATACATAAATGTATGTGTCTAATATCAGGATGACTGCAATAAACATGTTTCTTACCTACGTGGTAAAGAGTTAGTCGCGTTTTCTTGACATCTACTTATACATAATATCAAAATAAATAACAAGCTATGTATTCTTTCAGATCCATTGCCTTGTGATTATACGATCGACATCAACGACAAAACGAGTTCCGGGAACATTATATTTCCCGGAAATGTTGAGGGCTACAGTCAGTGAGTTGAAATAAAATTTTAATATTCCACATCAAACAAATCAAAAACATCCATATGTATCATGTGCATGTACAGTTTGAAAGGGGGTAATATCACATATTAAGAAACAGTATAACCTCACCTCCTACCCACGATCCAGTCAAGGTTTCTAAGCTGTCCACAACAGTCTATTACATACGTTTACCATCTGTTTCATGTTTCAAGTGTATATATTTAGATAAATTAAGATGCATCATGAAATTATTGAATTTCTATAATTTTATCAAGAAATAACTTCAATACTAAAACACTGTACCATGGGTATTTTGTCAATGTGGCGGTGGGGTAGCCTTGTGGTTAAAGCGTTTGCTCGTCACGCCAAAGACCCGGGTTCGATTCCCCACTTGGGTACAATATGTGAAGCTCATTTCTGGTATCCCTCGCCGATATATTGCTGGAATATTGCTAAAAGCGGCGTAAAACCATACTTACTCACATACCACTCACAATGTGACCTTGACGTCAGTGTGCTTGCTACCCGACCACAGGAACAGGCCCTGATGACGTACCCAATATATGTGATTAATATAGCTCATAGTTTACGTTGTTTCAGGGGGCTACCAGAACGTAGTGAGTACCATTAAAATAAAGTAGGGGATATTCCAGTTTGCGAGCATACCACAAGTCACTGCCAAAGCATATGAGAAAAAATAATATATATCCATACAGATGAAACATTTCCAAAGGAATGGAATACATTGTCACATTTTCCCTTCATTTCTCTTCATCATCTGTTTCCTCATTGGCTTCGTCATTTGCATTTTATCAATCTTGTAAATCCAATATCCCCTACTTTTGTAATGGTATATATTCTCGATTTCCAATGGTTGAAAAGATTCCATTTTATTTTGAAGGAATCATTAGTAAAGCCATATCCAAAATTTTACATCATGTAGAATATAAGTTATGTCCTGATGATTACGGCATCTGAAAGGGGGTGGGTAGTGTCTCTTTCATTAAACATAAAAGGGGGGGGGGGCACTTTAATATCTAAGATTGGTTCTAGCAGACATTTTATTTTGAAGGAATCATTAGTAAAGCCATATCCAAAATTCCACATCATGTAGAATATAAGCTATGTCCTGATGATTACGGCATCTGAAAGGGGTAGGTAGTGTCTCCAAAGCAAGCTCGTTCATTAAACATGAAGGGGGGAGTCACTTTAATGTCTAAGTTTGGTTCTAGCAGTGTCTCCAAAGCAAGCTCTTTCATTAAACATGAAGGGGGGAGTCACTATAATATCTAAGTTTGGTTCTAGCGGACATTTTATTTTGAAGGAATCATTAGTAAAGCCATATCCAAAATTTCACATCATGTAGAATATACGTTTTGTCCTGATGATTACGGCATCTGAAAGGGGGTGGGTAGTGCCTCCAAAGCAAGCTCTTTCATTAAACATGAAGGGGGAGTCGGTTCAATATCTCAGTATCTAAGTTTGGTTCTAGCGGACTTCTGACTATCTCAACACACAAAATTGGAAGGGGCGTAGCAAATAAATAGTCAAATAAAAGGGGTGAATCGTGAGGCTGGTACATAACAAGACCAATTTGCTTCAGGTATATATGAAGAAAGTCATAGCTTAAAAACAGCTGCATTTGTATCATTTTCTTGGCGAAGCTCACTACTGTTTGATAGCCCCTCGTAGGAAACCTGTTAACGTGTTATCATTTCGTATGTCCAGTCAGATTTCCATGTCACATCATCTGCAATATTAATCAGCACTGATGCTTGATGTACAGCTAAACCTGAAACATCTGTTTTAGGAGTCGTTCCTGTTCGTGGTTGTTGAGAAGAGCGAATAGTACGAAGACACTTGACATTAGTGTTACGAAGTCGGAAATAATGCCATCCGCGAGCTGCACAGATGACAAAATACTGATTTATGATGGTACGGTTCTTTTAACTCAATGTTATTTTTATATCATCCTGGGATGGACATGGGTTCCCGTTTTCAAAGAAAACTATAACTAAGTTTTAAGCATCAGGTCTTGAAGCATCGATGAAAAATATCGACTTTGTAGACGACTAGCACTACTGGATCAGTTCAATATTGGCGGCGGTGGGATGGCCTAATGGTAAAAGCGTCCGCTCTCACTCTGTAAACCCGGGTTCGATGGGTACAATGTGTAAAGCCCATTTCTGGTAATATTATTGGAATATTGCTTTAAAACGTCATAAAACCATTCTCATATTAGTATTAGACGTACAGCTGTTAGAAATATTTGCCCTTCAGGAATCGTGCAGGTGGAAGATAAACTGCAAATATGTTTTCAGGTAATTCCAGATCAAGTCCTCTCATTGGGCGTTTTTGTGGAATGGGTTTGCCAAGTTTTAGAATGACGGGGAGAAATGCCTTCATCACATTTCTAGCTACATCCCAGCCTGTTCGCCGTTCCTTTACACTCTCGTATCTAGAAGGTTAGTAGTACGATGTATAGTTATAGAGACTAACGTGTTAATGGTACATCTGACTATTGTAATATTGTTTACAAAGATAGAGTGTCATATTTATCTCGGAGGTCTGGTGATGAGAAATGAGAATGGATGATATAGTAAAATGCACACAGAGTATTATATTCTAGCATTTTATATGATGATCACACGACACGGATCTTCTCCATCATGTTTCACTTTTATCTTCAGGGAGAAGTGATTACAGTTAAACGGATTATATATTATGTATATATATAAATTCTATGTCTTGCGCTTTGAGCATGTTGTACATGGAAAATAGTGCATTACAAGCATGCTATTATTATCATTATCGTTTTCAGCTGACCTCGCATTCTGGAAACGTATCAACAAATACGCTCAGAGGACAGAGAACACCCTTCTCACTCCAAACTACCCTCTGAACTACCAACGGTAACTATAGTTGTCTCATAGTAATCATATGTATTTTGAGAATCTGTTATGAGCTAAATTTTTTTGTTTTGTTTTTTGTTCAACGCCGTATTCAGCAATATTACAGCAATACAACGGCGGTGTGTAAATAATCGAGTCTGGAGCAGACAATCCAGTCATCAATAGCATGACCATCGATCTGCGCAACTGGGATACGATGACATATGTCAGCCAAGTCAGCGAGCCTGACCACCCGATCCCGTTAGTCGCCTCTTAGGACAAGCATGGGTTACTGAAGATCAATTCTGATCCGGGTCATGACGTATGTAGTGAATGGGATATACACACCATATTCCAGGTTATGTTTCATTTTTTGTTATTATTCTTAAGGAATGCGGAATATTCCTGGGATCTATACACCGTGACCAATGGTGAGAACGTTGTCATAAAAGTAGTGACGTCAGACATTGAAGAGTCAGATGGCTGTGTCAACGACAGAGTTCAAGTGCACGACGGTAGGCATACTTTCATACTCATTTATCCTAAACATATAATGAGCAATGTATGAAAAATACGGATTTGTGATTAATCCCGGTTTAGAAAATGCTGTATAGACAAAACAGGGCAATCACTACAAATTAATATTTACCATGTAACCATCAGATCGATAATGTTTTTATCTTGCATATGTCAATGACAATTCTATTCATCTATCTTAAATGTATAAATAAGCAATACATGAAAAAGACTGATTTGTGATTAATCCCTGTTTAAAAACATGCTGTATAGACAAAACAGGGCAATCCCTACAAATTATTCTTTACTTTGTAACCATCAGATCGATAATGTTTTATCTCGCCTGTAGCAATATATACCTATCGTTTCAGGTGCCTCTAAGTCATCCAAACTTCTTGGAAAGTGGTGTGGAAAAGATACACCGACATTCCGAAGTTCAAGACAACACATAGGTCTCTATTTAATCAGCAACGACAACGACGTCACCGGTGCAGGATTCGAGATTAATTACTATACACTTGAAGCAGATGATGGTGAGTCACTTTGAGTCATGTCTTATTCTCTTGGGTTAAGAGTCACACTTACAATCTTACGGTAACACAATCACACTACTACTTCTACCTCTACTACTACTACTTTTACTACTCTACCACTACTACTACTACTGCCCCTAACTACTACTACTACTACTGCTACTTTACTCCCACTACACCACTACCACTGCCACTACTCACTACCACTACTCTACTCACTTTACTTCCCACCCCACCACTACTACTCTACCACCACCACTACCACTGCCACCACTATTACTACCACTTTTACTTCCACCCCACTACCACTACCACTGCTACTACTACTACTACTACACTTTTACTCCCACCTCCACTACCACTACTGCTACCACTACTACCACTACCACTACCACCACTGCTACCACTACTTACCACTTTTTACTCTGCCCCCACTACTACTACTACTCTACCACTACTACTACTGCTACCACTATTACTACTACTACTTTTACTCCACCCCACTACTACTACTACTGCTGCTACTACTACTACTACTACTACTACTACTGCTACTACTACTACTACTACTTTTACTTCTACCTCTACTACTACTACTACTCCTCCTTCTACTACAACTGCTACGACTACTTTTACTTCTACCTCTACTACTACGACTTCTACTACTACTACTACTACTTCTACTACTACTACTACTACTACTTTTTTTACTTCTAACTCTACTACTACTACTTCTACTATTACTGCTACTACTACTACTACTACTACTACTACTTTTTTTACTCTACCTCTACTACTACTACTTCTACTACTACTACTACTACTACTACTACTACTACTTCATATCTTGAGTAGAATTGGCCAGGTTTGCCGTCTTGGTTGATGCATGCCACGGTATCTCAGTTGCGCAAATCGATGCTCTTCATGTCAGTAATTTGATTGGTCCAGAATCTATCATTCACAGACTCTATTATTCATACAACATGAATTTTGCTGAGTGCAACAGCAAGACTACTTCTATGTGAACGAATTCCTTGTCAAAATGCGTCTTAAAGAGTCACACCTTCATGATCATCTACAGTCCGCCTACCGTAGCCATCATAGCACCGAGACTGCATTGCTGAAAGTGATCAGTGACATTCGGCTTGGCATCGATAACAAGAATCTCGCAGTCTTGGCACTTCTTGACCTAAGCAGTGCATTTGACACCATCGATCATTGCAAACTCCTGGAACGTCTGAGGTTGGAATTTCTCATCGATGGAACAGCTTTAGAGTGGTTTAAATCATACCTGTCCGATAGAAGTCAGTGTGTAATCATTGACAGGTTGTCATCTGACCCATCATATCTTACGTGTGGGGTTCCACAAGGATCCGTCTTAGGACCGGTTCTTTTCACCTTGTATATAAAGGAGCTTGGAAGTGTCGTGGAAAGACATGAAGCGGACAGACATCACTATGCTGATGACTCTCAAGTCTACAGATCCATGGAGTCAAGGCCACTTCAGGCGCACAGGGCTTTGAGTGAATTGAGCACTTGTTGTGAAGACATCAAGGCGTGGATGCATTACAACAAACTAAAACTGAATAGTGACAAGACGGAATGCATTGTCCTTGGGCCACAGAAAAGGAGATCACCGTGTGGTCTTACATGTTTTAGGTTTGATAATACAAACATCAAAATCGCTGACAAGGTCAAAGACCTTGGTGTGATTATCGACTCAGATGTGTCACTGGATGATCACGTTTCCATCTAGTCCAGAGCTGCTTTGCTCAGTTGCGTACTATTGGACATATCCGACCATATCTCACCACCGAATCTGCCACCACTCTTGTCCTGTCTCTAGTTATGAGCAGGATTGATTACTGTAACTCCCTTCTCACTGGTGCCACTAAGACACAGATAAGGAAACTTCAGCGTGTGCAAAACGCTGCTGCACGTATAGTGACCCAGTCACGTAAATCTGATGACGCTCTGAAACTCCTACATTCTTTACACTGGCTGCCCATTCACTATAGGATTCAATTCAAGCTTCTGTGCCTCGCTTTCCGCTGTCTGTCTGGATCTGCCCCTTCGTATATGGCCCAGTCCCTCACACAGCACCGCCCATGTCGCTCTCTCCGTTCACAGGATAAACGTTTCCTCGTTATCCCCACTGTTAGGACTTCTACGTATGGTGAAAGGTCCTTTTCGTATGCAGCCTCTACAGCCTGGAATCAACTACCTCAATATCTACGTGACTGTTCAGAACTTTCTAATTTTAAATCTTTACTAAAGACGCACTTTTTCAGATTAGCTTATGAGTGTAAACGATAATTCATTGCATTGTTTCCATGTATCTCTCTAATCTTTTATTCTCTCCTATAGTCTGTTTGTATGTACTTCTATGTCTTGCGCTTTGAGCATGTTGTACATGGAAAACAGCGCATTACAAGCATGCTATTACTTTCTCCTTCCTTTTTTCTCACGTTTATTAATGTAATTGTACATAACCCTTGAATTGGAGTTCAGCAACCCATGCTTGTCGTTAGAGGGATCGGGTGGTCAGGCTCGCTGAGGTGGTTGACACATGTGATCGTATCCTAATTGCACAGATCGGTGCTCATGCTGTTGATCACTGGGTAGTCTTTTCGGGACTCGATTATTTTCAGACCGCCGCCATATAGCTGGAATATTGCTGAGTGTGGCGTAAAACAAAAACACAAAACAAACTATGATGTGATGTTCGTATTCTGATATATTGGCACAATATCTTGAACACACACAGCAGGGGTACACATCAGAACATCAGTTAAAATGCCAATTTATTATTATTCGCGATAGAAGCAATTACAATGTATGTGACAGTCTTCATTATATTCCAGACTCAAATGCTGGAGCAATCGCCGGTGGCGTGATTGGTGCTTTGCTGGCAGTGTGCCTCATTGGTGCTATTGTATTCATCATAATTAAAAAGCCCTTCGCACGATGCCGCAGAGGCAAACCAAAAACAACGTATGGTGTGAAATGAGTTTCCTGTTTTGTAAATCCTCCACAAACGGCAAGGCCTGTGACTCGGCATTATTTTGTAAAATACAAAAGTATACTGCGAGAAACAAATAAGGAAGCACATGAAAGCACAAGTATCCCTTTATTTATTCCCAGATCTTTACCTACACTGCAATACAAAGCAAGCAAAAAACATGGAAAAGGATAAAGGAACACTTTTAATGTCATATGTTCCCTAATTAGTTACCTTCAGTTTATGTATCTATATGTACAGATAAATAGATAATATAGATAGATGAATAGATAGATAGACATAGTGTAGATAGATAGACAGACAGATTAACTATTTTTGAAAATTTCCACGGGTTAAATCATAGGGAATACGTTTGGACTACTATCTATCTATTTATATATCAATTGTAAATAGTACATGTCAGAATAGTAATTTATGCCGTCCATGATCGAATGACATCACCTGTTGACATTAACGACATAAATATACATATGTCATCGTTAGTGGGATGTCAGCATCATGCACGTCTACTAGTATCAGTCAGAATAACAGTACTGATTAAAAAGTGTATATTTATTCGTTGATGTCTTGTCAATCAGATAGAGTTAGATACTTATCATTTGAATTATTGCTCATTCCATTTGAAATCAGCATAATTCATTTTGATTTCAACACACAAGCATTTATCCAATACGTTGCATGGCCGATATGATTGTTTAAACCAAATTCATCAGATAACCAGAAGTGTCTATATCTTGTTCTGATGTTTGTTATTCCTATCAGAAACAAGTCTTGTATTATTTCTAAAAGGCTCAACGATGAAGAGGTGTATCAATTGTAAATATGTATAAATATGTAACTATGTATCTGATGCCGGTATGGCTTAGTCAGAGACAGCAATAGGGACTGTCCTGTCATAGTTTTGAATGAGTGTCTCATTTGATTGTAGCCAGTGTGAGCGTGTGTGAGAGAGAAATCCAGATTTCGAGAGCATATCTTCTTTTGGCCGTTTTGAATACAAGACACCTTTTATGGAGAACAACTTCTTTTTAATCTGTACACGCCGTTTCAGAGCTAAGTCTTGCTCCTACATGTTACAATTAATGAAATGTGTCATGCATTCATGTTTGTTCAACTAAATGCCTTTTTAGAAGTTCCCTATCAGTTTTGTAACAACGTACACTAATTTTTTATTTGCTTATTGCAAATTCGACGAAGAACCTGATATGAATATCTTTTCTTACAACATCCATTATAACGGAATGGTTTTGTAACAGCTGACCTTTTAACATCTGTTTTCACATATATGTCAAGGTTTCACCTTGTTTTTATAGCAATGTTTACTTTTTTACAATTGTACATGATTACATTTGCCATGCTGTTTATTAAAGAAATGTTTGTAAAATGTATGGTTTTTTATGTCTTTTAGGATAAAATATTCAGGTAATTATTAGTCGTTTTTGTCATGTTTCACAGATTTAAATAAATGAATGAAGAGGTTTGGGGCCATCAGGGAGAGTCAGACTGATGAAGCTCATCATCAGCTCAGGGCCCTTGCCCAATTTACACACAGCCCTTTCACCGAAAGGGACTTCTCCCAGCAGGAGCTGCTTAATATTACCCACCAAGAGCTTTTCAGAGAAGAGGATTACTCCAAGCACTACAACCTCCTGCATTACGTAGAGTGTCAGAAGGACTGTGTTCCTGGAGAAAACTCGGATACTCTTATAACAACCATGACACCGATCAGTAGCGTAGACAATGGGGGTGCGTGGACACTGACCATAGTTAAGGGATCTCGTCCCATTTCGGCAGCCACATCCCCTTAGAACAGGGCACATTTGATGGAACATCCTTTCAGATCATTCACACAAATGTTATATTCAAAAGCAACCCCTATATAACAGTAGGGTTTGTAGTCTCCCATTAACACATGGGGTTGTAGTCATTACTCTCCCATTAGCACATGGGGTTGTATTCATTACTCTCCCATTAGCACATGGGGTTGTAGTCATTACTCTCCTATTAGCACATGAGGTTGTAGTCATTAACCTCCCATTAGCACATGGGGTTGTAGTCATTACTCTCCCATTAGCACATGGGGTTGTAGTCATTACTCTCCCATTAGCACATGAGGTTGTAGTCATTACTCTCCCATTAGCACATGGGGTTGTAGTCATTCATCTCCCATTAGCACACGGGGTTGTAGTCATCTATATAAAGTGGGTTCCAGATTGTTGTGAAAGTATTCTCTATCATTATTCATTTGCTAGGCATAAACCAAATTTAACACTGTTTCTAATTTAGTTTATTCATTGCCCGGGAGCCAAGACCTAATAGCTTCCTGAGCCATAAATAAACAATTGATAACCGTTAAATGGTTTAGCACTATACATATGCAAACCTAAAGGTAATTCTTGCCATTTAATTGTTTTGGGAGGATGTATGTGCTCTTTCGTTTTTAATGTTATGCTCGTAGGTAAACATTAGTTCTATTTATATCAAGTAAACCATTTATTATTGATCTATTTAATCTTTATTCACACTGAAGGCCACAGGCCCATAGTATACAAGAACATAGTACACAATATCATAGAAAAGAATACTATAGTCACATCACAATATGTCATATCGCATTAAAATGTATCACATCACATAACATCGCATTACACATACTTTGTCGTATCACATCATATCATAACACACCATATTACATCATATCATATCATACCATATCATATCGCACCACATCATACCATATCATACCAAATAACAATATAAGTACATACATTCTATGAATTATTATGTTTATTTCTCAGAGATAATGCCTGATAGATAAAGGTTGACAACTTGCGGATAAGAACATTGTCATCAGTACTCATTAACAAAGAAAATTTCACCCTATCGGGATATGCAGAATAATATGTTGGGACATTTTTCTTTCTTAACTCACAATAGAATGGGCAAATTAAGAGGAAGTGATATTCATCTTCTACATAATTAGGACCACAAAATTTACAAATTCTATTTTCTCTCTGTATTTTATGATATCTCCCTGTTTCGATTGTCAAGTCATGTGAGGAACACCTAAACCGAGCAAATGCCTTTCGAAATTTCTTGATATTTAGTTAAAACAGATAATTCTCTATGTATATATGGGATTTAAACATTCTATAATAGAAACATTTACTTGACAATGACAGTGCTTCAACCCGTTCTTGTGTATATATATCTTTGAGCCTTTGAGTAACATTATTCACAAAATTTGTATGAAAATCAACATTTTGCCTTTGCCATACCTCCCCAAAACCTATTGTATTTAACAATTCTCGAATGTTAGTCACCCAGTTAGTCTTCCCGTTGTTATCGTATTGATCTATTACCAGTTCTTTGTTTTGACGCGGAACAAATGGCAGATTTGTTGTCAGCCACTTGTCTAACTGCTTAGCAAGTAGCGAGCTCAATACAATGTTACCTGGCGGTAATTCTGACCCTCTGACCGTGTAGAGAACATAGAAAATGTTGGGGTCATTAGGGTCAAACGCAGCATTCATGCACAGCGGTTTCAACACCGTTAACAATTTGAACTGAATACAATTCTTCATTTATATAATCAAACCTCTGCGTTCATTTCCAAGCCCACTGAGACTGGACTGCTTCGAGTTGTTCTACAGCTTTGTCGTGGCATTTGCGCTCCTCTTCCTCCTCTGTTTACCATTCGTTCTTCTCCACATAGAATAAACATTTACTCCCCGACAAAGCTAGTACATTAATAATAGCCCCACTAACTACCATGGCAATTCTAGCCATTATTATGGAATAGTTCAAATGTTCAATTCATTTACTTCATTATGTTTTCTGGGATAATTGATTAGCATATCTTTTGTGGCCATTGCTATGCCGACATATAGGATAGGTAGGGCTTGTGCTTCGGTAATCATTTTACCTATTTGCTCGCATTAATTTTTTCAGTTTCGTCATGTTTATAACATAAATTCTCTCAAACATAATGGTTGATTTTGAGTTACTATATGTGCCTGAACTGGCTGTGGTTGTGAGTTTTAACCGTTGCCCGTTGTTTTAGTATTCCTGTTTCGCCTGTGCTTGGTTGAGTTATTAAGGCAGTGTTAAGATTTCAGTTGTTAATGTTTACAGTTAGCAACTACAGTTCCAGTATTATAATCTACCACTGTCCCTATGATGTGGTCCATGTACTCGGGGCCATATACAAACTTATTCCAAAACCATAGTCAATTTTAGAACCATCATACTGTAGTACATCTTGGTATCGCCTGAGACCCACGAAGGTCCGGGTTAGAATATTGAACTTCAGTAACCCATGCTTGTGGTAAGAGGCGACATGGTTTCAATGCAGCATACTGCATAGGTTTCTGCCAACAAATGATTTGCTAACAAAATGAAATATAAATATTCTAAAACATGCACATTTTGCAAATCCGAGAAAGAATCAATTTTACATCTATTTTGTGACTGTAAAGTCATAAAAATTATTTGGAAGAAAATAGAATAATGGATATTCGAAGAAACAGGGTCAAATATTACATTTTCAAAGAAAAATATTATTCTAGGATATTGTGAAAAGAGAAACCATGTTCTGAATTTGATATTAACAGTAGTGAAATATAATTTTTTCAAAATGAACCAGAGAGATAGAATACCAAATTTGAAGTTCATTTTAGAAGACGTAAAGACAACATATGCCTACTCAAATTGCAAATATGACAGCTTCACATATTTTGGTCATTATGTCACAATCTGTTCTGTTAATCTAGAGCTATATATAATGTTCTGATATTATATTCTCAAGTACCTATTCATTTCTACCAGAATGCACATTTTCCTGTAAATCGGCTTTGTATATATTTGCTATTCGTGTTTATACCAGTCCGTTATGTAATGAACTGTATGACCTGAATGTATGGAGATTCACAAATAAGAAAAGTTAAACCAAATACAACATAATGGATCACGAGATTCTATAAATTTTCCTCAACCAAGTAGCATTAGTGAAGAAGAGAAAAATACATTCATAAAACAAGCCGCAATTTATTTCGTGCCAAAACCAAAGAACTGGTAGGAGATTAATAATAAAATATTTACATGGTATTACTACAACCATTTAGACCAATGTTTACTAAAGAGCATCACAATAGAAAGAAAAGAAGAGTAATGTGTATCTTTGTATTTATAGTATCAAACCTTTCAAGAACGGTCATCAGTTGTTTATTTATAGTTTCAGAAGTTTCTTGTCTCCTAGGTCAATGTTAAAGTTAGTTTTATCCTTAATTATGGCTTGCAATAAATAATAATAGATAATACTTTCATTACAAGCCAAAACCCAATAAAAACACACTCCATTTGATCTGGGAGATCATTGACAACAACCAACCACTATGGGTGATCTGTTCACTCAAGATTCCTGATTGACATCGGTACAAGAAACGTCGCACTCACCAACTAAAGAAGTTGTTATCCATAAATTTGTTCAATACAGCTTTAAACATGCGTCACTTTTGCTATTTTTACAAGGATGGGACCCAAAAGACGTTATAAATATGGTGAACGTGAAGTGTCACACATTTGAAATAGCTAGAAAACATTCAAAACATTCGGACGGTTTTATTGACCACACCGGTTTCAGCGCACGCCTATTGAGCGTATACTGAATGTCGGACACAGCTGTGTATGATGATATAATCAACTGTGCATACCGTAAGCACAAATGTCAACATTGGCTCGTCTGTATGCAGTGACTAAGTCTTTAGATGTTTGACGTTCAGGCTCATGATCTGTGTGTATGTTCACTGAACAGCAACATTAACCATAACTACAATCGACAACAAAACCTTATCTTACGTGTAACAAGCGACAAAGTTTCCATAATCACAATAATTAATATCGATAAAATTCATGTCCTAATCTTAACGTATCTCTAAATCAATGTCGATTTATTAATATTTTCTCTATATTGTTAAACTGGGTGTTCGCGGACAGGTTAGCGTATCCTGTCCCACCTTGGGCACATATCACAAACACATGCAAAGTCAAATCAAGGTTCACCTAAAAGACAAGAGAACATTAGGTACATGTCAGCGTTGGGAGTTAATTTCACCTCGATGTGGGATGAGTGAGTGAGTGAGAGAGTTTGGTTTTACGCCGCCTTTAGCAATATTCCAGCAATATCATGGCGAAACGAAGTGGGCTTCATACATTGTACCCATGTGGGGAATCGAACCCGGATCCTCGGTGTGACGAGCAACGCCTTAACCACTAGGCTACCCCACCGCCCCGTTGTGGGATGAAAGACGTAAGTAATTATAGAGGTTGTACACGTCAATGATGTTAATACTGGTGAAACCTTGGAGCAATAGCATAGGAGATTCGAACCCACTATCACATACATCCAAGGCCATGGCCAAGGGACACAAATCTGTACATCTATATTGGGCATCCAGTACAGTACTGTTTACGTTGTATTAATAATGCATCTGCCAGGCTCATGAGGATCGATACATCAAACTGTCGGGCGTTGCATGGTTGCTAGGTAACGGCAGTACACGCACACAACTCATATTTGAACAGATATTTTGCAGGTATTCTAATTAGATGGACAGATCATAATCAGATGTTAAAAATCGTTAACACGCCCGAGAACGAGACTTGTTTTACTCACTTAATCAATAGTGCGTGAGAGCTATGTAATCACAACAAAGACCGTCGGTAATGTGTACATGTACACAAGTCAACTCGCTACCTCCCCGCACCGTCGCACACACGCATACGCACATACAAACACGCACATTCACGGATACGTACATACACACACACATAACATAACAACTGCAATACTGCTACTGTGCCTGCTACTACGACCGCTACTATGACTACAACTACTGATGATGATGATGATGATGATGATGATGATGATGATGATGATGATGATGGTGATGATGATGATGATGATGATGATGATGATGATGATGATGATGATGGTGGTGGTGGTGGTCCCAGTAACTACCCCGTCTGTCACGTTGATATGTATCCCTTCTCCTCTCTATCAAAGGGAACATAAAGATCGGATAGTTACAATATGTCCTGTAGGTCGTTCCCCACCAAAATAGTGGTCCCCCATGCAGTCCACCACTGAACAAAGCTGCGCCACATGAAGATAACCGTAGAAAGATTGTTGATTAATAAGTTTGTTACATGCATTTAAAATGTACATGGTTTATGTTTCAATGACGACGCTCAAATGTCTCCAGCACGATGGTCTTAAAACAGCTCCAAGATGGTGCGGTTCAAGGAAATAGAAGCGAGAAAAACCTTTCCACATTCATAAGAAATCTCCGATTGTACAATTGTGACTATACCATGAGCTTATGTTTGTTTCAGAGCATTACAGCTGTATGTAGGAGACGAGGTAGGGTATGGCATGGGCCGTGTGTGGCCAATGGAAATGTCAGATTTCAATTTACGATAATATATTTTACAATCTCCAAATTATTGACAAGTATATCCTCTCTACACTTTGAGCTTCATTAATGCATAATATATTTATATTGCTTTTATAAATGAAAGAGGCCACTATTTGGTCTTGTGCAGAAACTAAACATAAGACCCAAGATATGCTGTAGCATACGTTTGTACTAGTTGTGTTAATCCTTAAGAAAACTGAACTTGGGTCATGGATTTCCCCTTGTTCAAATATCTTGATATGAGCTGAATACATTTTTGTCTTTACCTCTGCATATATTATTATTCACAGCAAACAAGAATCTGTTAACATTAATATAGACTGACTATCATTCATAAGAATACATGTGATATCGTGCATCATAGTTTTATACGTTTTTATAAGCTTTTCACATTTCTGGAATTAAACGAGGCCAAAGGGACACTCATTATCTTGTCGTTCCCTTTATGTTCGTTATATGTCGTGATTAGTAACGTCTCTAAATAGCTATGTCGATAACATTTACAACGCATGTTAGGTATGAGATGTTTACACAGGTATGACAACTGAATGTGTAATTGAACCTGACTGAATCACTCGTAACGTGAGCACTATAGGTGTGTATTGTTTGCTAGAATATCGATAATCCCAATATGTTTCAATCGGACTCAAAACATTTAGATTTCGTTACGCTGGTGACATATTCCTTAGTTAAACAATCTGCAGGTAATATCTATTATAAATCTACAATCAGTATCTGGTAAACCCGTGTCATTGTATTTTCAAGTACAGCACTTCGACATTCATGCTCATTCTATTTTACTGTATCCTTAAATGCAAGGTGTGTCCAAGGTGGGCTGAGGCTGAAGGTGAAGCATGAAATTGTAGGATTTCATCACAACTGGGCTGGGTATTAACATGTCCAGGAGGATTCGCACATTGCAGGCAGACACTGCTGTCCCTTTGTATAAAACGTATAAGACTAATTTCCATTTCTACATTTATAAAGAAATATAAAGTATGTATGCATGTATGTATGTGCGTGCGTGTGTGTGTGTGTGTGTGAAAGAGTGCCTGGATTTGGCGTGTGTGTAAATGTGATATTTAGAACAGTGGTCGTGTTGTCTGTCAGCACTATGTTGTTGAAAGGCGTTGAATAACTTTTCAAGAATAACTGATGCATGTGACCACTGACAGGCATATTCTATACAGCGTCATGGCGTCTTTCCATTTTGATGAAACTTAAAAATTGTTCTTTATCGCAGGATAATCATTTTCGACATTTTCACATGATTGTGTGTAAACAGGTTTTATTGTGGTGGGTTGTTTAAAGTTATAATAGAGTTCCCGCCTTCACAGCAGGATCAAATTAAATCGACCCTACTGACTGACTGAGTTTAGTTTTACGCCGATTTTAGCAATATTCCAGCAATATCACGGCGGGGAGCCAGAAATGGGCTTAACACATTGTGCCCAAGTAGGGAATCGAACCCGGGTTTTCGGCGTGACGAGCCAACGCTTTAACCACTAGGCTACCCCACCTCCCCAAATCGACCCTACAAATGCCTGGGTGTGTCAATGTGAACAAAGTGCCCATTGCTGACTGCAGGCTGATTTGCCAAGCAGACACATAAGAAGTATTATGGTGTTCTCAGCTGAAGTTCTGCAGCCCACAATATACGGTTACGTGTTAAATACCTCAACCACCTATTCATTACCATCTCGTGGATGTATCAAAATTTTGCTTTTAATGTGTCACAATCATTTAAGGGATATAACCTGTTATAACATACCTGAATGTTCAGTGATCTGTGACCCGTGAAGGTCCTGGTTAGAATTGATCTTCAGTAACCCATGGTTGTCGTAAGAGGCGACTAACGGGATCGGGTGGTCAGGCTGGCTGACTTGGTTGACACATGTCATCGTATCCCAATTGCGCAGATCGATGCTCCAGCTCATGATCACTGGAATGTCTGGTCCAGACTCGATTATTTCCAGACCGCCGTCATATAGCTGGTATATTGCTGAGTGAGGCGTAAATCTAAACTCACTCACTCACTCACTCACTCAGTGATCTGTTCATTATACTGCAATGAAGTCTTATCACGATTTGATCTTATAGCCCCCACCGATACTTTCTGCGGCAGTCACTAAAGACTTTGACGAAATAGATTAACACAATGCAGTAGGAAATATACTCTGTCATTCCCTGTAGATATGTAGTGGTGTAAAGGTAACACATTGTTTTTAGTTTTAATCAATCAGTAAATGCATTACCGTGTCACTTGATTTTCGAGTAAAAACTGGATTTCTTACTTGTAAATGATAAATGTTATACGATGTTTTAATTTAATGTTCATTTCCGATTCTGATTTACGCAAGCAGCATGATGGTGGGAAAAAAATATATAATCCTAAATGATAGATTACGGTTTTACGGTTTTATTATTGAGACAGACAGGCAGACGGACAGACAGACAGACAGACAAACCGTCCCATTGCTCTGAAGAGTTATGCGGATAGATCGACAGAATGCAATAGAAATAGATCTTTTCGTGTTAGTACCATTGTATATAAAACGTGAAAATAACCAGTGTCGATTAACCTGCAAGACAGATTCCACAGGGCCATGAAAGGCAAAACCTTTGTGAATTGATGACTGAAATAAAGCTTTCAGGGGGGAGTGTGCCCTACCACAGCTGCAGACCCCGAGTTGTACATTATTAACTGACGACTACGAGGTTGTGTTGGGAGAGGTACTGCGAATTGTGGGCGCGAGTGTCACTCGATACAGATTGCGAAATTCAAGACATTCAAGTGACCCTTTTAGTGCTTTGTGCGTTCCTTGTAGTGAACTCCTCAAATAGATGGAAATAAATCATTCGTGAAAACTCCCGAAAATGTTCGGTTAAAATTATATGAATTATATCATGTAAACACACAGGGCATAGTGATATTATATGTAGGACTCCCTGATTTGCTGTAGAGGATTCCCAGCTTATATCGTGTACAGTGTAAAACGTTGTCTCGGAGACGCTGTCTGACGTGGGAAAACAATCCATACAAATGCACAGTGCATTGAATGAGAAAGACACAATATTATGTTAATTAAGCCCCGCCCACATGAACGTATTACGCACAAGCCTGACCCATATTCCAACACGGGACTGGTGCACAGATACACGCTGAACACTGAAGTGTGTGAGGAAGGGCCCCTATCGGGCTTATAGTAACGAGACTATCACTGTTTACATAGTGGATTGCGTAAGAGTCTAAAAAGCACACTCATAGTCTACACAATACAGAATATAGCCGGACTCACACCTGTCAACATGGACCGAGTTTACTGGAGATTCGTATTCACCTGCGTATTGGCTTCTCTCAACCTTTCATTAACGTCAGGTGAGCTTATCTTTATGTTAGTTATCTCGACAACCTGGACAACTAGTTACCGGTATGCAATAGCCTCTTCCTTCGTTCAATACAGGGTTAATTGTAGTACTCCCTTCGACACACGAAAAGCGAGTCTCTGGGCCATGTAGGTCAGTTGGCGGAGGCGTGGGCGTGACCGTCTTTCAAAGATGTATCACGTACAGCTACGTCCATCCTACATCCTCAGCAGGATACCAAAAGCACTACACAAAGCGATGGATGCAGTATATCTTTCTTCTAATCAACATCTTAAAGAAAACACTGAAGTGCTATTTTGCATGTATCATGATTTCAAGCTATTGCCTTCAGAATATATGTTCATTCTTTAAAAACAAACAACAAACGAACAAATGGGCAGTCTATACCACGAATAAGCATTAAATTTAAAGCAGTGTCTCTCAGTATACATATTAGCGACGAGGACAGAGGTTAAGGATCAGAAATTATTTTTTAGAAGATGGTGTTTTAATTGCACCAGAACATGCAGTTGCTAGGATGCCAAACAAATTGTTTTAACAACACCTTTTTACAGAAAATCAAGTATGATAAGCGAACATTTGTGGATATTGTCTTAAAATAATTTATGAAATCTTTTAGCAGATATTTATTGATTATAGATGTGGGTATTCTTCGAATTTATTTGTTACAGAAATGGAAATTATTGTACATATGAGGTAATGCAGGTTTTGAGGTAACATGGAAGCATGTACGTGAAAAATTCATTTTTACTGTGCTTACCAATTTAAAACATTGATGCGTGCCCATACATTTTTGCCATAAAGGTGCCTGTTTATATCAAATAATTTAAAGCATTAATAAATATTATGCTAATATTATGTCTAAGTATTAAGAACGATTGGGGATAGTCTTACAAAAGGATATACACTGGGTATACAGTGGATCAGAAAACGTCTGTTTTATTTATCAGAATCAAGTTTGGGTCATTTGTAGTTAATAGTTGTAAAATGAACGTGTTAAGGACATGATTTGTTTTCGGTCTGTACTTCAAAACTTAGTTTTCTTTCCCAAAAGGTAGAAAACAATTTTCATTTCTTCCCGATACACTTGTCCCCAGGACACCAAACATGCCAATAGAATATATTTGGTGTTGTGTAACCTTAGCCAAAATATCATTTGCCTCCTGTTTAACTGAAAAGAATGTATCATACATTCCAAACATTCCTCCAGTCCCATTCAAAGAACCAAGTGCCCGGGTTCGTAATTAATGGAGAACTAGTGAATACTAAAATAAATGCTTTTTGTACTTCCGCAGAATCACCACTATAAATATCTTAACGCTCAGGAAATATGTAAAGTAACCGAACATAACATTTTTTCCTGGGTTTTCTGAAACAATTATTTTAGAAATATATAGTATTACAGAACCTTAAACTTGTTCTTGAGCTCTGATTATGTTTCGTTATATTGACACAAATAATGAAAAAAGGTAACAATAATATTTTTCGCAGAATGTGCTTACATGATTTATTTGTGAAATGGCTTCTGGTGGCAAATCAATTATGCAAACCAAACTGATTTGTGCCAAGAGGTGCACAACTAAAACTGCCGCATTTCAAATGATCAACTTTGCGCGGACCCTCACTATGTAAATGAATGTGTTATGTTCACATTTATGTTAGTATTTTCATCTTAATCTCATTGAATGTCATTTTGAATTAATCCACATAAATGGGGAGATTTCATGGATGTCAACGTCTGTATATTCCTACTCGTTCATCAACTGATATTTTGTGGACAATATGAAGAACACAACGTTTCAAAGTATATTCCTACCACTTCATCAGCTGAAATTTTACAGATGTCGACATCCATCAAATTTCATACTATAATTTCATCATATTTTGTATTTACATAACAGCGACACCGTGTGGGACGCTAAGTGCTACGCCTGAAAAGAAGCTTCTTACCTCGGAAGGGTATCCTATCAAATATGAACCGTGAGTATTTTTGTGACTAACTATGGAATCCGTTCAGGGACATGTCGCATTGACGCGTTGTCGCCTTTACAAAACTGAGCAAACACTGACCGACTTACCTGTAGTTATAATAAGACAATTTTGAGCAGCTGCATAAACTGAGGAAATAACGGATAAGAATTTTTTTGCGTGGACATTGAGATTTTTCGAGTAAGAGTACGCGGTGCCAACAAAAGAAAACGTTATCGTAAATTCACAAACTACAATGGTCTCAACAAAGAACAACGTTAACTTCTTCGAAACACAACAACGGTTAATAGCAGTGTTTCTCAAACTGGGTCTAACATGATTATACGCTGTAAGTGTTCAACCAGAAAAAAGAAGTAACTTCTTTGAGAGGCATTTGCTTCCTTCACAATGGCGTTAAAACCTACACTGAAACGTCGCTCTCACTGCCATAAAGAAGTTGTTCATCCATAAATTGTGATCTATCCTCAGAGAAGTCAGGTCACAAGCATTGTATGGCCGACATAAAATATGGACATTTCGTATTTCCAAATTCGTATACTAGTAAACGACAAAATTATGTTTGATACAATTCCCTATTTTGACTTTTACACATTATATATGAGTTGAAAAATGACATACATTACATGCACTTTCATTATGTGTGTTATCACAGCTCGCCTGTAGTTGACGTAAATATATGTAAAGAACTCCCCAAACTGGAGATCCATAGATTTACTTAGAAGTATGTGTAAATCATTTCCTGCAAATTATGCAAACTTTACCTTAAGCGTAATTAAAATATGTTGCACCATTGTGTAACAACTATACATGAAGAACGTACAAAGCACATTAAACTTATGACTGTCCAAGTTGAATGCATTTAGAATAACTTCAGTCACTCTGTCCTTCAGCAACTTAATAAGTATAAACGATTTATATTTGCGTGTGGTAACTGAAAAGGACAATATACTACAGACGCAAAAACATATAAATCCATTCCACTTGTGAACACTAACAAATGGTTTCAGTTCACAATCATGTTCGTGGACTATTCAAGCATCGGATCCTTCCAAGAATGTACTTCTAGAGATAGTGGACATGATGGTTCAACCCTCAACTAATTGTGTGGATGATTCAGTCAGCATATATGACGGTAAGATCTGCATGGGACCCCGAGTTTGAACCTAGTAAGAGGTGACCGAATGGTGTCGGGCTCGGTGACGTGGACGATAGCGGTCCACACAGCGGGTCCACACAGGCGGTGTGGACCACAATATCGACACTGCATTGTCTGATCCAGACTTGACTATTCACAAACCGTATAAAGCTGTCGATTGATTCACACATACATATCAATATTAGATGTCTATTCTGTATTAGATCAACAGTGTTAATGACACATGTACAATGCGTATGTCCAAAAAAATAACGCCCTGTTATGTTCTCTCAATTGACAAACTGACAAACGAAATTGAACACATAAATCAACTATTTCTTAGCATTCCTCAAATACCGTTGAATACCTTCATTTGATTTCGAAATGTAAATAATGACGTTTCATTATTCTATGTGGTGGGTACATAAAACACAATTATTGGGAAAATGGTTATGTACAGTAAGGTTGATAAATAGACATGTTATATTTATATGACATAAAACCTGCAGCACTTTAACCTCTGTACAAATGTATACATGTATTTAGGCTACAAGCACAACTTCGGCACATGTACAATGTTTGCTTGGCTAATATCTTCTGTAATAGAGAAATCATGAGTCATAATTGTATCCGGATATTTAAATCCTTAACACATATTGTCTTTCATGATGTCCCCTGCACAATCAACGAACCCCGAAAATTACACATTCTTGTGATTTGTCCGACTTAATGATGAAGATTTACAGTAACGTGCACAAATGCCAGTGAAATCAAATGCAAGCACAAATTATACATCAGGATAATGGTTTATTTGACGGATTTCACTTTGTTAAAATATTGTATGGAACGGGTTTTTAAAAAAAAGAAGTTAAAATACTACTAGTTTCGAATTTTCAAAAGACGACAAACAACATAAAATTAAAACGCTCATAATGTTTTACTTCAATATTTGAATATTGTTACTGACTAATTATTTACTTATTTCATAATTTTCATGGTATAAAATATACTGGACAAACATAGTTAGGGATATATGTAAATTTTGAAATTATGAATAATGATCTATTTATTCATTGACACACTGATAAAATATCAATCATAAAAATACCAATATCCCTAACTTATTTTGTCCAGTATAGTTGTATGGTAATTATAGCAATTGGTGTATGTTTTGATTTAATTCCTTCTATGATTTCATGTTTCCGCTTTGAGTGGCATTTCAGAAGTTGGAAAGTACAATATAGAAAAAAACATTATTGATCACAACTTCTTTATTTCGCACTCACGGATTAAAGAAAGTGTGATCTATAAAGTTGTCTATATTATGCTTCCATGTAGTGTGTTTCGAAAGAAATATCATTCATAATTGCATATTTACCACATAATTTGTACTGCAGGTAACTCGAACACTGCTTCTAAGCTTGACACGTTATGCGGAGACAGCCGAGTGTTCTTAGCGTCAACTGGACAGAACCTATTCATTGAATTTCGGTCCAACGATAATCTGGAGACAAGAGGCTTCCAGTTCCGATACTACGAGGGAAGCCGTATGTATCACTGACGTATGCTTAGGGTCAACCCTTGACGAATATTGTGAAGAATCGACTTTTACGATCTTCATTTTAATCCTTGAACCATATACGTTATTGTTGTGGCTTGTTGTCTACACAGTTGATAAAATACATCAAATTTAAGTATTCAAGTATTACAGTCATATTATGAACAAATTGTTATTGTCACAGTAACTGTAACACTAGTTGTTAAATATATTTATATACCTTAGACACTGCTGCATATATAATAAACCATAATTTTCATTCGAGGTTACACTTTCTAAGTAAAGTACATATTTTTGTACTTTCTTGTGTCTTGAGTCCCATCCGAGATTCGAACTTACACACTCACACTTAAGCCACCTACTGGCCATCACACAAGGTCAGTCATCTAACACACTCAGCCGTCGCTGCTTCCAGAAAAATGGAAGTGTGACAACTGGTAGTGTGTACTACGTAGTTAGTGTACCTCTGTGAGAATGAAACTGGCAATAGCCGAAGCCATGAATACATAAAGTGTATTCATCGGTAGAGTTAATATAATTAGACATATCCTTAAAGTTGAATTCTTTTTTTCCTTAGGAGCAACGCCCTGCTCCTTCACATTAACGGCAACACGGGACGTGAAGACCTTCTACTCACCTGGCTTCCCCATCGAATATTTCAAGTAGGTGGTACTAAATGCTTCATATTACTTGTATTGCTATTCTAGTTGCATTTATTCATTCATTATGTTTGTTTGTTTGTTGTTGTTTAATGCCGCACTCAGCAACATTCCTGCTGTAAATAATCGAACTTGGACCTGAAAATCCAGTGATCAACATCTAGTCGTCGGTTATGACAAGCGTGGGTTGCTGAAGAGCAATTCGTACCCGGATCTTCACGAGTGAATTCATTCATTAACTTTGTACCGTCAATGATCTACTTGTAAATGTGATGTAACGTAAAACAGACAGTGTTAACAATGTCATTGTTTTATCATTTGATGATTCAATCTCCAATCAATTCCCAGCTTTGATCAATTTACTTAAGGTTGTATGACAAGTTTAGCGCCACAACGAAATTGCTAGGCAACAGCAAAACAGTAAGCTACGTCAAACACTCAATTTTGTACAAAATATTTGCACGTGGCCAGTAAATCAATTAATCAATGGCGTAAGACGTCCGACGCTGTGAACAAACACCAAAGATGGATAATGTGATATCATTTGATATACACTCGTCAGAAGAAAATGTGTAATACATTAACACAATTGTACAGTTATACGTATGTTGAATGATTGATTTAATGTAGTGTACAGCCGCTCCCAGCAACACACAGTTACTAGTATATAACGTCGGTCTTTGAAAAGACTAGGTTTGGTAAATCAGTCAAAATGTTTGGCAGCGTGACGAACGACGCATGCCATCTGGCACCATGTTCAGTAACCAACACGTGACTCCGAGTCAGAATTAGTCACAAGCAACCTATGTTGGCCGTGAGAGACGAGGCCCGAGAAAATCTCGGTTAGAATTATTCTTCAACAACCCATTTGCGTCGCTAGAGGCGACTAACGGGATCGGGTGGTCAGACTCGCTGACTTGGTTGACACATGTCATCGTATCCCAATTGCGTAGATCGATGCTCATGATGCTGATCACTGGGTTGTCTGGACCAGACTCGATTATTTACAGACCACCACCATTTTGCTGGAATATTGCTGAGTGCGGTGTTAAACAACACACCAACCAACCAACCAACTAACCAACCAACCAACGTTAGAGGCAAGTATCGGGAGATCAGGCTTGGCTCATGCATGTCATCGTCTCCCGTGTTGTTTAGACCAGTGGTGATGACCGCTGGAATACTGCTGAAAAACAAACATGCAAACAAATAAACAAAGATGAGAGGCGAACAAATAGATCGGGTGGTTAGGCTCGATGATTTGTTTGAAAGCGTGTGTTCGTATCCTGACAGGATGGACTGTTGCTCACACTATCGACCACTGGGTTGTAAGGTCCAGACACACAGATTTACAGACCTTCGCCATGTAACAGGACTGTTAAATGTTATACGAAAATAAAATAAATGACACACATGCTGACTCAGAATGAAAACAGCTGAATGCCTATTCTTATAATTAGCATGTATACTGAACATTAAAAGTTCGGTATCATGAATGCTTTTGTGATATATTGATCAATTGTGTGCACGGTCTTCACTACAAAATAAAATCGTTAGACACATTCATGCTCCCTGATATTTTCTGTTTACTATATATACATTGGTGTGGCAATGAATTGCGCAAGTTGTTAAGAACGCTCAAGTCAATTTAACGATTAGCTTATTTCTTATCCGTGCGTTTAGAATCGGGATTTGTCGTGGTTTTGAGGTTAGATATATTAGTGTTATAATATGTCATATGATTGTTTTCCAGCAATTTAACCTGTCAGTATTCAATTCAAGTGGCAGATGCATCAGACAGCGTGCGGTTGGAGTTTACAGACGTTGACGTTCAATCAGCTGAATCTTGTCGTTATGACAGCATCGGCGTGACAAATACAAGTAATGCAATAAACTATTTCTGAATCTAAACATTCAATGGTACCGAGAACAAGTATGCAGCGGTACAGCGGTTTGACGCACTGCAATTCGGTGTGGGTCTGATTCTATCAGGATGTACTGATGGTGGTTTCGAATCCAAGGTTCGCTCTGATTAGGATCCCTGGTTTGGTCAGCAACATACCCGTGCGTCTGGTCTTTACTTGCCGTTGCGTGTGTTTGTGACAAGAAGACCATTTGTCATAGACCTGCTTATGATACCTTCGGAGTCGTTCTGGGGCGGTGGGGTAGCCTAATGGTTAAAGCGTTGGCTCGTCACGCCGAAGACCCGGGTTCGAATCCCCACATGGGTACAATGTGTTACGCCCATTTCTGGTGTCCCCCGCCGTGATGTTGCTGGAATATTGCTAAAAGCGGCGTAAAACCAAACTCAGTCAGTCAGTCAGTCGGAGTCGTTCTGCAGTAAAATGGGCGTTAGATCATGTGTACAACGACCATCACGACACCGCTATAGTGATATGAGATTGATGTAATCAGGAACACGTATATAGTATACAATAAAACCAAACTCTGTGCCTACATTATACTGACCATTGTGGTTATGCACATATTGGCTGAGTCACAGCTGAGTGGATAACACGATTCGTGCATAAATCAATATTGTCATAGTTTCAGGTGGCGATGACCCAGTTGCCACTATCTGCGGCACGGCGACCTCGCGTTATCAAGGAGGAAATAACATGAAGGTCACATTCATAACGGATGGGTCAAAGGTCAATAAAGGATTTTCGGCTGGATATCGGAGTGTGCCGAGTGAGATTATTTATCTATTTTCATGTCATTAAAGTAAATTGTAGTAATACCACATAATAAAATAATAGTTATAATAAACCGATATTAATGATGAGGATTATTTAGGTCTTCGTTGTTATAACGTGAAAGCATTCATTCTTCCAAAACATTCGGTTTAAACACTTACTCATTTTATTCTTTATACTTTTCTGGTTTACCGCCTTTGTTATTTTTACTGTGTTCTTGTATTGTCAGTTTGCACAAGTGAGTACATACATGTTCGATCACTGTATGGTCTTTCAGATAATGCACTAAAAACAAGACCCATTTTCAAGTTGTAAATTTGTGGAAAATGTATTTCCAAAATCGCAATTTTCAAAAGTAATTTATTAAATATCTATCATCAGTCCTAACTTTTGAATCAGCTATATTTTTTAGATTTCACCTATTTCGAAATGTGGAAATGGTGCGCAACAGAATTATTTATTCCACTGATGTTAATGAAGATGTTTTTTAGTGATACAAATTAGCGAGACAAATTTTGTGTTTCGTATCTTTCAGAGGAAGACTGTTCCATGCAAGTGGAAGCAACAGATACGGACTCTTTCATCCTGTCGCCAGGGTACCCGACTCAGTACTTTAGGTAATACTATACAGTATTTACTCTGGTCATTTGTTCTTGAAAAACTATGTCATTGTAACCTTAGACTTATTTGAAGTCGTCGTGAATAATAGATACGTTTACATTTTTGTGGTTCAGCTTAGAAGTGAATGTGTATTGTTTGACGCCGTAGTCACATATCGCGTCAGCGTGTACGAAATCGAGGATGAACCAATCGAAACAGTGCTAGATTTGTCCAATCTCCTTGAACCAATTCTCAGTAGATTATGATGCCGAAAATGCTCGTGGTAGATAGATGATAGATAAGTAGAAGAGTTTCTTGCAAAGATAGCGAAGTATTCCAAGCAAAGATAGCGACATGTTTACTCTGTGAAAAAAACCGTGAAATCACTAACTCTATATCTCTGTTACGGAATAGTTATTGTTGCCAGTGGTTACGGCTGAGTAACAATATTTATGAAGGTGAAATATAGTGGACGTCAACTTGATATATGATATGAGAAACACCACGTTTAACTTGATGAAGGAGTAAGAATATACAGTACAACCAGAAATTATTGAGAATTTAAGATTGTAATTTTTTATATTTTTTTCACTCATTACTCACGTATTAAATGTGAATATTAGCAGAACATAACTCCAGATTCAAAGACAAGTGAACAGTTAGTATTTTGTCAAGTCACCATGGGCAGCAATGCAGGCTTCAATGCGGCGGGGCATACTACTGATCAAAGAAGTTAGAAAGTCGTGGTCCATGCTGTCCCAATATCAGACCATCTCTTCTTTCATTTCAGCAATATTTGTCATATCTTTCCTTCATAAGTCCCCAAACATTTTCTATTGGATTTAGGGCAGGGCTATAGCTTGGCCAATCTAATAATATCATATTTTGGGTCCGAAACCAGGCCTGTGAATGCTTTGAACGATGTTTCGGGTCGTTGTCCTGCTGGAAAATCCAAAACTTTCCATAGAACACGTAAGCAGATGTAAATGTCCCTCGAGAATATCTGTGTACCGCTCACTGTTCATATTCCCTTCAAATACACAGAGGGGCATTGCCCCAAACACAGATATGCCACCCCACACGTTAAATTTCGGACTGTACTTTGGGCGCTGATACAAAGGTTTTTCAGTTTGTTTGGTCCAGAATTTCAGTGTATTAGGAAACAGCCACACAGAACTTTCATCTGAGAAAATCTCATTGTCCCAGTTAAGATTTCTATGCTGTAAGCACCAGTTCAACCTTCGCTCCTTTTGTTCAGGTTTCATGATCGGTGATGGAATTCCTCGACTTTTCTGCCAACCCATTGCATGCAGCTCAGTTCTAATTGTCTCCTTACAGACAGCTACAGTTCCTCTATCAATCGTATCCAGCCTTAAGTTTTCTAAACTTCTTAGTTTGTTTTTAGAAACAAGAATACCATGCCGCCTCCTGTCACCGACAGTCAATTTTGTGGGCCTACCTGCGCCTCCCTGGTGCTCAATGCCATATCCATTTGCAATGTTTTTCAAAACACGATAAACAGTGGACAAAGGGATGTCTGTTCTATTTGAAATCACTTTAGCTGATCTGATGTCCTTGTTGTAATACTCTAAAATCAACTTCCTCTTCTCTAAATCATCCATACGGAGGATCACTGAAAATGTCGTCTGCTAGCAAGTAAACAAAGGGGGATAACTCTTCACAAACTAATGAAAAAGGATTAACGGAGTTGTCTCTCTTGAATGAAACCAAGCACTTGATAGCTGGTCAAGGTTGTTTATACTAGAAATCCAATGAAACATATTCCTAAAATTCTCAATAATTTCTGGTCATACTATACAGATTGCTGAAGTTAACACTACAAGATTTTCACCCTTTATGTGTCACACTTCCAAATGCGATTCAAAGACCCTAATTGATTTGTACCTGATAGTTTTTATGGGTATGGATGCTATGGTCTAGGGGAGCTAACTCCAGGCGTGTCAAGATATAAATAGTCCTTGGGGAACAAATGGAAAGAGATCAAATGTGGTGTTGCAGACTTTTGACAAATTGCTGCTTATAGGCTGACATTTACTTTGAGCAACTTGCTTAATACATATTTTACGGTAATTGATTCCACTGATACAGACGATATGTGAAGACTCATTTAACATCACAATTGTCACAAATTATACTGTTACAGCTGTCATGCACTTGGTGATATATATATATATATCTATATATATCGGGTGCAACCTGACGAGAACAATTACATATGTACCTGCACTAGCAATATAACATCGATAGTGGTGCATCCTGAATATAGCAAAAATCGATCCCAGTTTAATGAACATGCAAACTTCCAGTACAGAGCGACATAATGTATCGACCCTGCGATGTCCAAGAGGATATCATGTAGAAATATATAGGGCAGATAAATATACAGATCAAACTTCTTAATGAGACATCCGCAAGTATAACTAACAGTTCTTCTGGAAGGATTATTTCCCGATAGATACATGAAGCATTCATACTATGAATGAAGGATGACACAGGATAGGTGGTGATGCACCTTACAAAGTCAGTGGATGATTCGTTATGTGGCACTCAAAGTGTTCTGTTCATTACATAAAAGAGGTCTTTCGCTAGATAGATTAAGGTTTGTCATATCATGTGCCTCTGCCCTGGTTGGTAACTGCATCTTCCCTTGTGTAATTGAAGCCTTGTTCCTCCAGTAACCTGAACTGCCGCTGGACAATCGTTGCTATGGACAACAATGCTGTGGTGGAACTGGTTGCTGCCACCTCCAACATCGCAGACACCTCCACATCTTGCAGCAGCGACAGAGTGACAGTGATGAACTGTAAGTTTCTGTATACAATTTCTGTATACAATCTTTTTTTTATAAATACAAAGTGTTGACTAAATTCAAGATTATGTTACTTAGTTCAGCAGTTGTAAGTCTTAGAGTGCTTGCTGTAAAATATACATACCTAAAGTGATATCAAATTGTTATACACCATGAATACAAACGCAGGGTTAATCAGTATTGTGGGCGGAGGTGATGTAAACATAACAATATCGTCGTACAATGTTGGCTTGTAATTGTGAAACTTCCTGGATTTCGTAATGATTTATCTCAAGCTACAAGCTTGATTTAACGTGACAGAAGCTTTGTCAAACTATCTGATTTTGCAATTTCATTTTAAACACATTTATGTAACACACATATATAGTATAGGACTTTAAGGATAAATAAAAACTTTCAGATGAGTTTGAAAGTCTGAAACATTCAGATGTTCAGCCGATATGACATTTTGGTAATGTCAATAACTGTAACACATATTCATGTGAATGAAAAAAAGTTTCATGAATGAAAACAAAGTACATCTGTCATATGTATGAAGTGTGTTACCAGGTTCGTAAATTTATATGCTCACCTTCTATTACCACCTCAGCTAACACAGCAGAACTGGGGACATTCTGTGGAACAAACACACCTACATATGAGAGTACCGGACCAAACATGACTGTGATCTTCACTACTGACGCAACAAACCAAGCAACAGGGTTTCGTCTGAAATACAAACAGAAACAAGGTAGGTCACGTTTCAAGAGATTCATACCAGTATAACTCATGCCTATGAACTTTTGAGTTTATAAGTTTAATAGCGTTTCGTTCTAAATACAAACAGAAACATCGATCACGTTTCCAGAGATGCATAACAGTATTTATTACCTACGAGGGCGAAACAATCGGGGCTAATATTTTTCATGCAAAAAAAATATCACTTTGTCATGGTGACGTGACAATGCCATGACATCATGAACAATGCTATGACGTCACGTTTCTTCGATAACTGCGTTCTACATGCGTCGACCGCGGGTAGCCAGCCTATGTTTGAAAGTAGATTTTGGTTTATTTTCATCAATTTGACGACTTCGGTAATACATAGAGCATTATATTCGTGCCCACATCATACTAAAGTATGCTCTGGCCAACATTTAGACACACTTGTCGTAAACATGACATGGGCACTCTGAAATATCCTCTGTAACTCATTTAATATTAGTTACACGGTGTTTTGAAAGGGTGTAGGGAACTGTAAGAACCTTGTACATTCCGTATTTCCTGAGGCGCGGAATTTACAAGGGTCTTACAGTCCCGTACACACCCTCAGGAAATACGGAATTTACAAGGGTCTTACAGTCCCGTACACATCCTCAGGAAATACTGAATTTACAAGGGCCTTACAGTCCCGTACACACCCTCAGGAAATACTGAATTTACAAGGGTCTTAAACAGTCCCGTACACACTCTCAGGAAATACGGAATTTACAAGGGTCTTACAGTCCCGTACACCCTTGCCAAACACCGTGTGACAAATTTATTACCCTTAAGATCTTCTTATTTAGCTTATATCTTTAAACAACAACATTCAATCATCGGCAGAATGAGACGCATTTAACATTTAGGCATGAATTTTCCTGAACGGTCATAAAGGGAGATAACCCGGGATGGCTTTGATTATGATAAAAATTATCGAATTTGAGGTCTTGCTAAACCACAAGTGAAATACAGAAACATTATATTTTTGGATATATTCATTGACAAATAAATAAGAAATTATGACAACTATTTTATTACTCTGTTTATACTCATAATTGTATACGCCAACATATTTCGAAGCGATCAGCCGTTTGGCAGCCACATTCTATCTAAGGTCAAGGTCATCCGTACAACCCGTGAAGTGTGTCACATGAGAGATTTGACGGGGTGTACGGTTCGTACACCCTGGCAATTCCACCTATAGCGGTGGGGTAGCCTAGTGGTTAAAGCGTTCGCTCGTCACGCCGAAGACCCGGGTTCGAATCCTCACATGGGCACAATGTGTGAAGCCGATTTCTGGTGTCCCCCGCCGTGATATTGCTGGAATATTGCTAAAAGCCGCGTAAAACCATACTCAGTCACTCACTCACTCACTCACCTACAAGGTTTGGTATGCTTTGGCTATCGACCAGTCAGAATTCGAAACGTTTATCTTGACGCCATAAAGGAATTTATACGGGAAATAAGAAAAGAAGCAATGACGCCATCACAGACGGCATATTATCACTGTCTGTTATCTGTTGCGTGATTTCATGATTTCATGAGTCACAGTTGTAGAATCAGATTTCATATGGATGTGGAAAGGGTTTTGTTGCTTGCTGTTTAATATTCAGTGCGGATTCTGTCAGATACACGTGTAGAATGCCTATAAGATCCAGGTGTATTTAAAGGAAACAGTTGTTAATAAATTTAAATACAATTAAACGTTGCATGTATCTTTGGGCAATATACCTTTGGGGTAAAAGAAACGCGAGAGTACCAATATATCATTTGCATTGCTGCTTTCGGGTTACTATATTCGTATAGTAAGCGATTTAGTAAAGATCTTGGCATAGATCAGAGCATGTGTGGAGCGAGTGCAGCAAACAAATGCAGTAGTTCAGTGAAGTGCATTACAGCTATATAGATACGCAATAAATACACATACAATTGTAATATTATCTGAACTAAATCGTTGAAGCAATGAGTGATGAAATGACATGTAGTATTTTCGTATAGGTGGAATTCATGTAATATTTTTACTTTAAAAAAAAAGAAGAAAAATGTAAACCGTCACATGTCGCCACTACGGAACGGACATCAGATGGAACCAACTTTGGACAAACTGTTTTATTTGTTGGGTGTTTAATGCAATGGCATCAGGTGTATTCGCTGATGACATGTCTCAAGCCATTTGTTTTTTTGTCATTTACTTCAATAATATGAAGTAAGTTAAATCTCAATGACGTTTGACTCTGAGATATGTTTTATAGTTTCCCACGAGTAATACCGTGCCATAATGCTTTACAGTCACACCTCCACCTTCATCGTGTGGAGGGACATTGACAGCTTCTGTTCGCGAACAACTACTTTCTCCAGGTTATCCAAGAGCATATCTGAGGTAAATTTAAACATCCTCGTGTTCAACTGATTACCAAGTGCTTATATGTAAACCTTTAAAGAGATGAGGTAATTTAAACAAATATTGCTAGGCTTTTTGTTTGTGTTGGTAAGCTTCATTTGTCTTACCACAGGCATTTCCGGTATTTCGCATCATCTTGTGTTGGAGGAAATCTCAAAAGTTGATACTTACCAATATGAAGGCACCGATTAGCATGGGTTAGGATCAGTGCTGGCAGGCTGAATCTTGGGGTGAAACCTCCGATCAACCTACGCTATCAAGTGACTCACAACTCACAAAGAATTGCTATGGTCTGTTTGTCCACTTGCGTGTTTTTTGTCCAGATATATTCATCTGATTAGTTTTACCGAGCAACTGTGTACACAATTATTACTCACAGCAACGAATTAATATGTACTTCGTTTTACAGATCCCAACCATGCACTTGGACAATTACAGCCCTGAATGAAAGCCTCGTCAATCTGTATGTCGACGACATTGATGTAGAAGCTGGTGATCAGTGTCTGTTTGATAGCCTCAAGATATACGACGGTATGCAATTGTATGACTCAATTATGTAATTTATCCAGGGCGAGATTTTTAACGCTCTCAATTAGTCGAATTAAGTCAAAATGAATTACAATTTGTTTCATGACACTTATAAGCATTCTTCCATTCATTTACATCCTCCAAAACATGAAAAAAGCATGTATTTGAGCAAAAACAAACATTCCGGCCCATGGGCGAGGTATTTTAAATTTTGAGTTTTCGAACAAATACAGCAAAATGTTTTCATCTTTAGCATATATTCATGATCACTGCATGTTGAATTTTGTCAAATACTTTGTCAGAAACTGGCGACAGTGCGGAAAGTATCTTAAGTTTTTGGTTTCCAGAATTAATTTGTGACATGTTTCCACAAAACCGCTGTAATTATGACCATATAATTACAACCACAGAACATGACTATATATATCATCAGTAGTCTTAACATACGGCCAAACGTTTAAAACAAAGCCAAGTTTTAACCTTTTCCCCCATAAACCTATGTGGATCAGTGGAATGAATACCTCAGCCACTTCAAGATATCTCGTGTACGAAACACGAAAAACGTATGGAATAAGACATTTATTTGGATGTATTCGTATGTGTTAGTGTAAATTTGGTACACCTTAATTGTTCACAGGGGGTAGTTCTTCGAGTCCCCACCTGAAAACTTTGTGTGGACAAGTGAAAGGTTACAGGTTACAAAGTACAGGGAATGTGATGACCCTTGTCTTCACCACTGACGACTCCAATAACGGCAGAGGGTTCGACCTCTCTTATCAACAAACCTCAACTGGTTTGTATGTTTCAAATCAATCTGAGTACATCACGATACATATCGTTCCAACAGATCACCAAATGTAGACGTAGCTCTCCCGTGTTGGGCTTTGTTCATAAACTATAATTCGAATAATTAAAAAAGTTTTAATTTCTAGATACTGTATGAATAATGTGGATTAAGTTCTTCCTGTTTGTTTGGCGTAGAAACTCATAAAGAAGTTACGTCCTCTTCCTTTCAATGTCACACCCGTGAAGATCCGGGTTAGAACTGATCTTCAGTAACCCATGCTTTTTGTAGAGGCGGGTGGTCAGGCTCGCCGACTTGGTTGACACATGTCATTATATCCGAATTACGTAGATCGATGCTCATGATGTTGATCACTGGATTGTCTGACCCAGACTCGATTATTTACAGACTGCCGCCATATTGCTGGAATATTGCTGTGTGCGGCGTTACGCAACAAGCAAACAACAAACTTCTGTTTCAGGGTTATTGAAGTCCACAGTGTAACTGTATTTTGTTGTTTTCCATACAGAATTAAAGTGCTCCGGAACACTTAAAGCTGCAAACACATATTCCTACATCACCTCACCGCAGTACCCGAATCCCTTCCCAGGGTTTGTATTTATATTCTAGAATAAGGACGAAACAAAGGTGTCCTCGGAAAATTAAACCTCGTTAGTCGGGACTCCTTTCTTCCAGAAACTCCATTTTTCGGACATGCTGGGAATGTACTCGTTTTATAACGGTTGATAAAGTTTTGACAGTGTAGCGACAATGTTGGGCTTTCTTAAAATAGGGAGCTGATAAAAATATATCAGTCTGTATAGCATCGTTTTTTAATACTGAATTCTATATGAAGAAAAACCTTAGTCTCTGTTTCAAATACAATTCATAGTTATCCCATTCAGTGTATCTCATTTTATCGTGATAAATAACCCGACCAATTCTTTTGTGGTACCAAAGATAAACGTGATGTGTCACTGGATAAATCATATTTGTAAAATTCAGGAAACAATGACCATTGTAATATTATTAATCCGCGTATATTTCAAGAATACCCTTATCTCACACAAACCTTTCTGTAACACCATCCTAGAGAAATGTGATGCTTGTGTTTAAACGTTCAAAAAATCAAGTACACGTCCTAATGTACAGACATGACATCAAATATGAGACGCTGTACATGTGACATGACGTCACAATATGAATACGGACAAGCGATTCAGGATCCTTGGTCATCCTGCAGACTTCCAAATGAACAACCCGTGTTAGTAATTGATCTTCAGTAAGCCATGCTTGTCGTAAGGACGACTAACAGGATCGGGTGGTCAGGCTCGCTGACTTGTTTGACACATGTCATCATATCTCAATTGCATAGATCGATGTTCATGCTCTTGATCACTGGATTGCCTGGTCCAGTCTCGATTATTTACAGACCGCCGCCATATTGCTGGAATATTGCTGTGTGTGGCGTAAAACTAAACTCACTCACTCCAAATAAACACTACGTGTATGTGTTTTAGATATATCTAACGGTTGGTACCTATCAATATGAAGGTGAAACAATGAGAGCTGTCAGTATACTCCAACATTCAAGTGACTGGGACCATACAAGTCTATCAATACCTCCTGACGATTCACAGACTGAAATTTGTGAAATATCAACTCTTACGAAAGGCGATATTGAACACTTCACTTTGTAAAAGTGAATATTTGTGTTGTCTGTTTGAAATCAATTGTAACTACTTTTTGAGTGAGTATAGTATCTTGTTACCTTTTCTTATCATGGTATTTTCATCTGGAAACAACATACGAGTATTTCGAAGAGTTGGAAGTTTGAAAACGCTTAGCATGAGACAAGCATATTACACTTCAGGGTTAACACAAGAAACATTGCTCCTAATTATGAAACGATATAAATAACAGTAAACAACGTCCAAGTTTAAGTTTGCTCCACCATTGCTTTAAGGTCATAGAGTGAGTGAGTTTAGTGTTTAGCAACGAGCGAACGCTTTAACCACTAGGCTTCTCCGCCAACTCAAATGTAATGCAATACCGATCACTACATGATATAATGCTTATGAGTATACCTTTTTATGAATTGTACCATAAGGCTGAACTAATTATGTAAAACTTTTTAAATTTTAGTAATGCAAGCTGTACGTCGTACAAAATAGGTGGCGAATATGGCATTGACTACAGAATCAAGCTCGAAGTGCTGGAGTCAAATCTCCCTGAACCAGTAAATGGCGAGTGTACGAGCGACTACATAACGGTACATGATGGTGAGTGGATTGCCATTCTTTTAACCACTTTAAGTTGTGGCAGAGTCTTAGGTCTGTAAAATGATATGACGTATGACATATAGTCTCATGTATTATCTCCCCATTAGTTTATCTTTGTATATGTCATTTTGCCTAGTATGACATTGCTGTATTCCTTGGATTTGTTCTTTTTGTGTCGTGTGTCCTAAACTCGCTCTTTGACAGAAATGAGTACCATAAATTATTTATACATGTGGTGAATAAAGATATTACTTACGTATCTATCTCAGAGGTTCAGGACAGTTTGTCAAAATTGTCATTTGACGTTTACTGAGAAAACAATATGTAAAATGCTGGACATCCTGATGATAACATCTATGTAACATTTGGGGGTAAGACATGTAGACAGTAGTCACCCTAATGGGCACCAATAATGGCCCCCTCCTTGCGGATCCCTTTCTGTATGCACATGCACTTTCTGCACGGGTTGACGAAAATCCAAACTAGGTAGCCAAGAAGTTCATCTTTAACTCTAGGTGTATCAAAGGTCTGGTACCGTCCATTAACTTTTATAGCCAAATCCTTCTCATTAAAATTCCCTCCCACCTTCCCCGAAATAAAGGAGAGTTTGACGTTTGACCGACTGTTTCATATTTAGATCTATGCATAAAAATTCAGTGTGACATGCCTGTATGACAAAAGGAACGATTTCATTTATCTAATAGTCTACTTTTCGTTCATGTCGAGCAATATTCCAGCAATTCAAGCCTTTGGTGTTTACAGCTACAATCGGGCATGCACCTTTCACTGTGATATCAAAAAGTGTCATACGAGTCTCAGAAGTAGTTCGATGAAGGTTACAACATTCAAAGCTTCAGTAAAGCTTTCAAAATGTTGTATGGTAGATATGTAGAGGGCATTCCAAATTTGATGCATCTGTGACAAAAATGACGTCCGATGGACTTCCCTATTTTGACTTGTAACATATGTTCCCAAGTACCTTCAGGTGAGCAATGACTGGCCTTTGCCTTTGTTTATGGCGGGTGCCAGCGGTTTTGGAAACGATACACATGGTATCATTACTATTTGATACTAGGGCTGTGTATTGGCATATACATTGTATTGCAATATACTGCGATTCAGGTACCGGTATTGCGATATATTGGGAACTTAAGTGTTTGACAGAGAGTGACACTAATTGTGCATGTCAATCCTATTTTACACATTATAAGTCCCTAAACAAATATGTTATGGTTCTGATAACAGCAATCACAAAATTAGGTTGTATAGTCATGGATTCTATTTTCTTTTTTATACAATTTATAGTATATATGCCGTTTTTTCATTGAATGACGACGGAAAACATTTGTTGTGAATGTAAGTTTGTGTAGATTTTAATTTGACCTATAAAGATAATCACAAAAACCTCATATATGTTCTTTACCCAATAATGGGCACAATGTGTTAAGCCCATTTCTGGTGTCCCCCGCCGTGATATTGCTGGAATATTGCTAAAAGCGGCGTAAAACTAAACTCAGTCAGTCAGTCTTTACCCAATATACCGGTTTTCAGAAAAAATCCTATTTGATACTGATTATACAGTCGACCCTGCTTTTAGCTGGGATTTGTTATGGATGTGGAAGAGATATTTTTCCATTTATTTCAAATGACCACCTGTAGAGTGAATAGCCGTTGCCGGAGAGGGAAACTGTACGTTCCAGACAGTGACTGGTTTTACCATCACGTTTAAAGATTAGTATCAGATCTTGGTGTTTTATTCCTTGACATGGATCATGCTCACAAGCGTCTATTTGTCTGACACGATTCCTTACAAGTTGCATGCTACCCTTTGTAACATGAATATTACTGATAACACAATACATGACTCTGTCACCCTGAATACCTTGCCTGATTTCCTTGTGTTTCAAAGGCTGGCTGAGCGCTTCGATACCACTCAAGTCCATCAATACCCAGAAGTCCCGCTTCTGTGGTAAGGAGCTGCCGACATTTGTGAGCCCAGCCTTGTTGTTTGTCCAGTTCCACAGTACACAAGCAACAACAAGCAGCAACTTCCGGATGCGATATCAACAAGGAATATTTGCCGGTAATGTGAATCTTTCAGTGAACTGGGTATTTGACAAGGGAAACCAAGCTCTGTTTCACAAAGTTGTGGTACCGCTACTAGTGTCGTAAGTGTATGTTACAGTATAGGAGGTACATCATTCGTGAATTCATAGCTTTGTGAAACGGGGCCCAGATGTTTGGACGTTGATTACAATATGTCTTTTGCATTACAATAGTACGTTCTCCACACATTGTTTCAAAGGCAAGTATCACACATAACACTTCTCTTGTGTAATGGATGTATCCAGTGTAGTGTTTCAAAGCCCCCCGAAGTGTTCATGGAGAATACCGCACTTCCCAACTCTTGGCACTTCTCAAGAGATATGTAACTCATTTGGTGAATATTTCAGTAAACTAGCTAACCCTCTCAATCAGACGATTATGATCACGGCTTTGAAAAAGGTGTTTGTGAGGGAATTGCTTTTATTGTTCATGACATAAGATATTTGTCTAGAGATATTGGATATTGCATTTACCCAGGATAAGATCTGGCCCGATCTCCAGAAAGTGAGTGAGTGAGTGAGTGAGTGAGTATGGATTTACGACGCGTTTACCAGTATTCCAGCAATATCATGGCGGGGGACACCAGAAACGGGCTTCACTCATTGTAACCATGTGGGAAATCGAACCCAGGTCTTCAGCGTGACGAGCGTACGCTTTAACCATCAGCCTACCCCATCGCCCCTACAGATTAAGGTCCTTTCCAACACACAAGACTTTCCGTACAGAATTGCTCACCTTAAGTCTCTGTTTCTTATATGAAATCACAAATCATACACTAAAATTGATATCCACCTTACCTTAGGAGATTATACTATCGATTCCAATAGAGGACACCTCTCAGTTCTTTTATACTAATAAGTATTAATATTTTATGATGGCCGACCGCGGTCAACTCGCCACTGTGAAACGAACGGGACACACATGGCTCACATCGGACCCACAACGAGTGCGGCGTGTAGGAAAGAAACTCCTTGTCACTGGTTTATCAATATGTTTCAGTTTCCACTTTCATTATTGCATGTGCGTAAACTTTGATTTGTGGCAATTCAGTGTCATTTATAATCTTGGAACAGCGATGCAAGGCGAGCGATACTGTACGGAATATGTAAATATCGCAGAACTGTTATTCGTTTTTTAAATGAGTACTGATACATTTTGTATTTACGGAGACCAAAGAAGGCGTTTAAAGATTGTAACAGATAAGGCCATGATTGGTGCAATGACTCAAAGCTAGAATGATGTAGTTTATCGCATATCTGAAGATGATCAAGTCTTTATGTTATACAATGCTTTGATATACCAGCAGTTGGTGGTGTATATATATTATTATTAACTATGTATGTTGTAACTCAGATGAATTTGTGTCTCCCTGTGGCGGGACACTGACAGCAACGGATGATGTCCAGAACATAACATCACCGAATTATCCTGGCAATTATACAGGGTGAGATTCTTTCTTGTTGTATATTATATAGGAGCGTGAATTCATAACTTTAACGGCTTTCAACAAATCAGCTTACAGCCCAGTCATCCGTCGTCCGTTCTCAGAGTTTTCATCTATTTTACCACATATATTTAGCCATTGTTAAACAATTGTAATCACTTGTTTCCTTTTTGTGAGGTGGTCCTCAATATTTCTGAAGGAAACTTGAATAACTGTAGTCACAAGTCTAGGGGAGATAACTCATTTGCTTTAAATCTTTCCACGTGTACTGTTTTTTTTAATTGCATTGTAATTGTCAATTTGGGACCGGTCATAATTTATGGCTGGGTTGGGGGCGGTGTGTGTGTGTGTGTGTGTGTGTGTGTGTGATATGATGATGATGATTTTTTATGGAGAAGCATGTACAAAGTAAGTGACCCCCCTGCATGTCATGTGCAAAATCAATGCACCTCCCTTCCCATAATGTTTAAGCATAATTTTAAAATAGTTTCATGTACAAAACTGCTGACCCCCCTAGTACATGAGCACAAACTTGATGACCCCCCTGCCTCCCCAGAACAAAATGGTGACACCCCCCTTAAAATCATCACACACACAGAGAGAGAGAGAGAGAGAGAGAGAGAGAGAGAGAGAGAGAGAGAGACAGACAGACAGACACACAAACACACACACGCGCACGCGCGCGCACACACACACACACAGAGACAGACAGACAGACAGAGAGCCATAAATTATGAACGGCCCCTTACCATGCTCAACATGACTGATAAGATGCTGTGTATCCCTCACATGTTGTATTGATGAGTTGAGGGCCTCCTTGAAAGAAGGGCAGTTGTGTTAATAAATAATCATATAGCGAAGTGACGTAAGTTTTATGAAAAAGTAGTCTTCCGCCACCGATGAGCAACACGCACTGTGCGCTAGCGCACTTATCATGTTGTTACCGCATGCTACTCATTATAACGCTTGCTAATTAATTTCGAACAATCTTTTTCTTTAGGTTCTTAAACTGTACGTGGACCATTACATCAGCGGATAGCACCAAGATGGTACGGCTAACCTCAAGAAACTTCCAACTGCTTAGGAGGCCATATCCTTATGACTGTGACTCTGATATTACTTGGTTGAAGATATACGACGGTAAGACTAATGGCGGGATAATGGATAAATACTAGCATGACACATCGGGCGAGTGAGTAGTGCATTACACTGTTTTCAAAAACAACATTCAAGCTATAAGACAAAATATGATGGATGTCAGCCTCTTTTTTATTGTATGCACAACGTTTCAGGGCTTTTCCTTGCCCCTTCGTTAGGTAAATGATTCACAATGATCCTTACTTGAATACCAACTTCGATATGCCTCTCAAGAACCTAAACATTCAAGCTATATCATGATGGGGAAATTTTTTTAAACACTTGAAGATAGGGGTTAGGATTGGTCTTGATCAGCCCCTGCTTGTCGTAAGAGGGGACTGGTGGGATCGGGTGGTCAGGCTCGGCTTGGTTTACACGTCATCGTTTCCGAGTTGCTCAGACGGATGTTCATGCTGTTGATCGCTACACCATTGCTTACAAACAACCCATGCCAGCCCCAGAACACCAGACGCTTGCAGTGTGCGAAATAGCCACTGGTCCGCTAGCCCGTGGTTAGTAAAACTCCAATCGGGCCAGTAAATCTCCACAGCCACTGGCCCGACTGGATAGGGAATTTTCATGGGGTCATTTATTTTTTATGGCATTTTACCTTTTTTGTAATCTTTTGGTTAGTTTCAACATTCAAATTTCCTGCCAGCGAATTATTTTGTGGGCTAGTAACTTTCAGGCATTGCAACATTTGGAAACTATTTCGCACACTGGATGCTATTACCTATTTTAGTGTTTTTATCCACATGTGCTGATAGTATAGTCGCTGTTTCAGGTAACGTCAACAGCACTGACTACGCCTATGAATGTAGCAGCCAGGCTCTGATGCAGCGTCAGAGCAGTCAAAACATAATGGCAGTGGCATTTCGAGCATTTGTTTTTCCCGAGCCTTCAATCTTCAGTACATTCAAACAGCAGGTAACTATGTAAATAAGATATTGAATATATATTAAAGATAATCATTCTGTGTTTGAATTAACGTGTACCTGTGGCACATACTGGTCGTGCAATACGATGTAACTGTTACCAGACGCAGGGGCAGCACGTGACTTACCCAGATCCGGTGGACCACGTGTCACAGCTGCAGCGCAAGACAGGTTCATAAAGTTTCGTCACCTACGCGATAGGCTCATCAGCTACGATTGCGTAGGATTTCAGCCCAGACATTAAGGAACTGTTATTCGCCCAAGACGACCTGTTTGAGACGTCAGTTTGACTGATCAGCACCGTCGGCTGCGACTTCAATGTATGACCATAACAGCGAGACGTGTTTGATTTAGTGACGTTGTTTGCTTCTCCGTACAGACGAGGTCGTGGTGTTTACATGCTCGAAACTGCTTGCAGTAGACAGGTTTTGTGGCGTCGGGGTAATGATGTGGGCTTCCATCTCACATACCGGTAGGACAGACTTGGTACACGTCCAGGATAATTTAGCGGCACAGCGTTACGCACACGACATCCCTCGGTCACACGTCCTTCTCATTATGCAAGAAGCAAAACTAAATTTTTCAATACGACAAATCCCAACCTGTCTGACAACGGTCTTCTTGAGGACCCGCAACATCCAATTACTGCCTTGAACCTCAAGGTCTCTATATCTGAACCCCCATGGGGTGCTCTTGAGCAACAGCTGCAGAACTTCTAACATTAGGTTCAGGTACTGCGGGAAGAGTGGTCGAGCATACCCCAGGCCACAATTCATAATCGGATTCGTTCCATTGGGGAACGATCGCAGGCAGTTCTAGATGCTCATGGGGGCACATAAGATATTGCGGGAGATGAATTACACCTTGGCATTCAATTGTTCATGTGTGCCACGATGAATCTCGGTCAATGAAATGACGTGTGCCAAATTTGAACAATTTACTGCGATATGTTGATGCATTTTCTGTTTTACAGAGTATATATTGAGAAACCTGATTAGTTGTATAATACATGAAGTATACATCTGAAAACCGCTTTGGGATTTCTTGTTTTACAGAGTACATATTCCGAAACCTGTTTAGTTGTATAACACATAAAGTATACATCTGAAAACCAGTTTTGGACTTCTTTTTTTACAGAGTATATATTGAGAAACCTATTTAGTTGTATAATACATGAAGTATTCATCTGAAAACCGCTTTTACAGAATACATATTCCGAAACCTGTTTAGTTGTATAACACATAAAGTATACATCTGAAAACCAGTTTTGGACTTCTTTTTTTACAGAGTATATATTGAGAAACCTATTTAGTTGTATAATACATAAAGTATGCATCTGAAAACCACTTTTGCGTTTCTTGTTTTACAGAGTACATATTATTAAACCTGAAGTTATTTGAAAGAGCATATATGAGTTAATATTTTATAACAACGACAATCAATACTAACGATACATATATTTTTTCAGAAATGGTGCCGTGTGATTATGTAAAAGATATCGGCAAGTACGGTATGCTAAAACTTCCTGGAAACGTACAAGGTCCAGTGAGGTAAGTAGATTATCGAAAAACATAATCAAATCTGGTAGTATGTGGATAGACATAACTCAGCTATGAAATAATTACTTCATCATTGTAATTCCTGCAATCTGATTGCTTGAATCTTTCGAACAAAAGGCTGCACCAACAGAGACTGTGTTCACCACAGTAGGCTAAAGGGGTAATCACCATGCAAGTTGGGGAAATACCTGACTACTGTATCCTCAAGAACTATTACCGTTGTTTCCTCAATCCCTGGTATACTATAAATTCAGTCCTAAATTATCAGTACACTCTCTGTGTGTTCGATATTTGTCGCTTTTTTAGAATTAAGATAAGGGACCATTCATAATTTTTGGCTTGGGGTGGGTGTGTGTGTTGTTGTGATGATGATTTTTATGGAGAAGCATGTACAATGTGAATGCCCCCTAAAATTTATATACAAAATAAGTGACCGCCCTGCATGTCATGTACAAAATCAATGACCCACCCCCATATAACGTCTTCGCCAGAGAATAATCAATCTCCGGTACCTGCTGAAGCAAAGTCCGTGGGACGTAAAAGGCCAAACAGTGATGAAACTATCTTGCTACATAATGAGATGTGTTAGAGCGGATCTTCCTTCTTTAATGGACCCGTGAAGATCCGGGTTAGAATTGATCTTCAGTAACCCATGCTTGTCGTAAAAGGCGACTAACGGGATCGGCTGGTCAGACTCGCTTACTTGGTTGACACGTATCATCGTATCCCAATTGCGTAGATCGATGCTCATGCTGTTGATCACTGGATTGTCTGGTCCAGACTCGATTATTTACAGACTGTTTATAGACCATATAGCTGTTTTATTGCTGGGTGCGGTGTAAATCTCACTCGTTTAATGGGGGTAAACTCTGCGAGGAAATATATACAAGAGAGAGTTAAATGTAAGACCAAGGAGGTGGAGGTACCAACCATGCATGGCCATGGTGAGCTGCAGAACGTAAGCTCAAACACGCCATAGAATTAGATCGATTTATTAATCTTTATGAAATTTTGTCAAAAATACAGACTACCAACGATAAGGCGTTGATTTTCTTTTCAAATCTGATAATTCAGTCTAGTGGAAAAGTTGGTGCAAGTTGATAAATGTAGTAGCAAATATGTTTTATCCAGATGGTTTTTATAGTGTATAGCAGGTATTGGAAGCATATGTATGTATAGTCTGTTTGGGGGAAAATATTCGTTTTACAGGAATTATGCAATACAGTGTTTCTTTCATTTTCAATAAATTTCCAGAGGCGGTACCTGCTCATGGTTGGTACGGAGCACATCAATGGAGAAAGGCAGGCACATGAAACTGACGTTCAACTCGACTGCGTTAATTAAAAGTCCTAATTGCACGGAGGATTTCATAAGGGTACATGATGGTACGTTTTTCTACAATCCTATATTAAACAACCCAACATGCCGTGATGTTGTACCGTGTTAATTTCCAAGTTGAAACTAAAAGAAATACCGGGAATCATTCAGAATATGCAGAATTGTGCTGTAATCAAACAAGTGTAATTCTGAAATTGACTTAGTTCACAATTCAATACAAAGGTATCACTAAGGCAGTACGAAATAGAGTGGCAGTAGACATGCGAAGGTAATAATACAAGAGTAGTGATTATAGTTATAAAGACAGTGATGGTAATAATCACCTCTGAGCAACAGTAATTAACTTGGAACAGTATCCAGGGCATAATGATCATCACAAGCAATGCTGGAATTGTGGCTGGGGGGCGGTTGGTAGCCTCGTGCTTAAAGCGTTAGCTCGTCACGCCGAAGACCCGGGTTCGATTCCCCACATGGGTACGATGTGTGAAGCCCATTTCTGGTGTTCCCCGCCGTGATATTGATGGAATATTGCTAAAAGCGGCGTAAAACTAAGCTCACTCACTCTTCCGATGTAATGTGAGAGGAGAGATTACAACTAGCTCCGATTGTATACACAAGAAACTGAAACTTCTACAATAGTCTCCGAGGCAAACCAGTCCGGAATCAGCACCTTGTACATAGAGGACATTCTACATCTCTCTGTAATATTCTGTGGGTCAGAATATGTCTAGAATTGTGTCTAAATATGACACGAGTCTGAATGTTAACAGGTACACAGTATCACACATCGAACATAAACAATGAATAACATTGTCAGAAAGGAGTTCAGTAATGAATGTCGAAATCACGCTTCAGTTAACAACTGGGAAGGTGAGAATGAAATCTGAATGCGAGGCGCATTGGTTACTGGGAACGTCAGCAGCAACAGCATTAGTAATACTCGTAGTACTCGTAGTAGTAGTAGTAGTAGTCGTAGTAGTAGTATCTGTTGTAAGACTTTGATCGAGTCCAGTCCATTCGAGGATCAGACAATCCTGTGATCGATAATGCGAGAGCAACTATCCTAGCCGTCGGTTTGCAATGACCAAACCATCATCGTCGTCGTCATTATCATCATCATCGTCGTCGTCGTCGTCGTCGTAGTGTCGTCTTCCTACCCTCGACAGCATATCTCACGTTTTTCAATTCTTTTATTACAGAAGTGTAGGCCATCGGCCCATAACTACATAAGTTACATTTACATGGCAAAACATGGTGTGTACAGTATAGATTGATAATTTTAACATCTTAGGTACATTGCATGATAGATCAAGCTAGCTTAGTTATGTATAAGTTTACAATCTGATGGTGACATGAGGTGTTTGAATTTGGCTTTACATGGATTGATACAATAGGTTTTAGGTAAATGGTCGATCAGAAAGTGGGAAATAGAGAGCGACGATGTGGACACAGAGGTCGTCGACTTTGAAAAAAGCGACACAGACGCAGTGATAGGCAAATGCAGAAACGCCAGGGGGTCTTACGTATTCCGAGGCGGTGGGGTAGCCTACTAGCTAAAGTGTTCGCTCGTCATGCCGAAGCCCCAGGTTCGATTCTCGACATGGGTACAATGTGTGAAGTCCATTTCTGTTGTCTACCGTCGGGATATTGCTGGAATATTGCTAAAAGCACCGTCAATGTAAACGCACTGTCTAATTCCAGGATTGTCTAGTCAAGACTCAATAACTTACAGATTAGAATATTGCTAAAAGCGGCGTAAAACCATTCACACTCACCCATCACATATTTAAATTTGTTTTTGACAGTGTTCTTTTGTGTTTTCAGGTCAGTCGTCAGCGAGCCCTTTAATTGGGCTCTTTTGTGGTGAGGACGCATCAGTGCTTCTTGTATACGGACAATACATCTTAATCAATGCGTCACTGACAGGGAAACGGTCTTTTGAAATCAGTTACTCATCAGGTTTGTTGATAAAATATGCTTTTTTTGCGACGACACTTATTATTGAGGGTGATTAGATGTGATATACTGAGGGACAAAAGAAAGTTGACCGAGTTACATAATTATAAATTTGAAAAACTGAAAAAAACCTGTATAACCTTCGAAAAGTAATTTGTATTTTGGTCTTACAAATTTCGTTCAGTGAAGACTGGGAAGAGAAATAAATGTACATCCACATGGTCCCATGTTTGAAAATTTAATTTGTTTTCAAGATGTCAAAGATATACTTCAGTACTTGCGAACATATAGAATAACATATAGAACTATTCTTTGAGACGCCACTAGTCCGTCTTAAGTCCCTGAAACACATTATTTTCCCTAATACCCAGCCCTCCCTGCAATGCTAAAGCCCTAGATGAAGCAAGTCTAGATTTCCCTGAATCTCCCAACTCACTGGGGCCCCTCGCCGTGATATAGCTGGAATATTGCTTAATGTGGCGTAAAACCCGAATTCACTCACTCATTGATGCATCAAGGTCGCGGGATCGCGGGGTATTCGCAGTTGTGTAATTGCTTCCGCAAACTGAAATGTCAGTGAGCCATATTTCACTCAAATAAAATTGAGTTGGCGCGGTTTTGTTTACCTTGTGTGAGATATAGATAAATATAAATAACAATATGAACACCACTTTAGTAATTACCATGTCAATCATATACTGTGACTGTGTAATTTGAATAAAAACAAATTGAATAATCAGCGCTTATCATCGTAATATCCCGAAGTCAAACGTTGCGATTGCTTTCTTGGCATTGGTGCGTTGGCCCGATCACGTGACTGCCTTTTCCTGGCGTGCTCAAATCATGACGTCATAAACGTCTTGAAATCATTGAACAACCCTGGCCCTTGTTCAGATAGGTGTTGGCCCACCTTCTGAAATAAGTTGTTAAGAGCCGAATGCATCCCATAATAAGTGTTCTCCACCCACAGTCCCTCGTGTCTTTGCGAGGATTAAAGATTAAAAAATAAATACATTTGAGATTACCCCTGACTCGAAATGCTTCACAGTACTTTACATCATAATGTACTGTAATGTGAAGCATTTCGAGTCGGGGTCATCTCAAATTTCTATATATTTTTTAAAACCTTCTATCCTCGCAAAGACGCCAGAGCCTGTGTCTCCACTAACATCACTGCAGGCTTATCTCCAACATGAATGTGCCACGCCGTGATATCGTCACGGTAAAAACACTCAACTCACTCCGACTTCTATGAATACATGTAGCCTATACGAATAACGGAATTAATTTTTTTTTCAGATTCAAACATTTTGGCAACACAAACGAGGTACACTTATTCCAACAAGAACGGTATCATAACCTCTGTTAATTATCCTCTCAACTACCCAAGGTAAGTACATTTGAACTCTGTCCAGTGCCCATTCAACTTCTCTTGAAAGATGTGTGTAAGGTCTCAAGTTCATCTTTTGATATGTTCATGACTCACTGCATTGTTTGACCCAATGTGCATTGCGCCAGCATAATAATTATATATTGCTTTGTGCGGCTTTGAAAATATACTGAAAATGTTTGTTTTATGTCAAATGCATCAACGCCAGAGTGAGTAGGTGAGTATGTTTTCCGCCGCTTTTAGCAATATTCCAGCAATATCACGGCGGGGGACACCAGAAATGGGCATAACACATTGTACCCATGTGGGGAATCGAACCAAGGTCTTCAGCGTGACGAGGGGACGCTTTAAAACCATTAGTCTGCCCCACCGCTCTCATGAACACCAGAGAATACCCAGTCTTGACTATTAGTCAATGAGGTAGACATAATATGAATGGATCACTGAATTTCAGTGACATAATGAGATGTTATAATGTACTGGTACTACCAGCTACTGAGAGAAACGTGCATGAAAAGGAATTGTCTGTTTGTTATGCAGGGATGCTGAAATTATGTGGACAATTAAAACTATCGGTGAGACAGTTGTCGTGGAAGTGATGTCGTCACAAATAGAGATGTCTGAAGGCTGCGTCAACGACAGAGTTGAAGTATACGACGGTAGGTATTATGTCATTAGCATTCAGGCACTGAAGTAAAGGAGACAACAATCACTCATTACAAGACATCTCTTCTGTGAAAACCCGTATGGTTTCCCGACCAGCAGTATAAATGCATTATAGATCATGAGTAAGTGAGTTGGGTTTAAACCGCTTTTAGCAATATTCCTGAAATATCACAGTGGGGACACCAGAAATATGCTTCATACGTTGTAACCATATTGGGAATCGAACCCGGGTCTTAGGCGTGACGAGCGAACATTTTAACCACTGGGCTACCCCACCGCCCTTATACATTATAGGGAGCAACATCAGTGCATTATGCGGAAAAAACACGTGAGAACATGTTTGAAGGTAAAAAAAACAAGCATACACTGAATGAAACGGACTACTTTGTGCATGTACGTTTGTAGCTACCGAATTTGGAGGTTCCGGGTTGACGAGGTCCTGACTGATTCTCTCTATCAGGTCTGTTTCTATATCACGTGTACACATTTAGGGATTCCAAAGCTGAACTTGTTTGTTTGTTGTTTAACGCCGCACTCAGCAATATAGCAGCTATATGGCGACCGTATGTAAATAATCAAATCTGGACCGGACAAGCCAGTGATCAGCATCATGATCATCGATCTACGCAAGTGAGATACGATGACATTTTCCAACCAAATCAGCGAGCGTGACTTACGACAAGCATGGGTTACTGAAGACCAATTCTAACCCGGATCTTCAGGGGTCATCAGTGACCCATGCTTGTCAGAGTAACCAAATGAAGTTCGTGGCAGTAAGATGTGACCTATGATCATCGATGTCTTTTTTATCCAGTTAACTAAGTGACTGTATTATGTCTAGAATGTATATATTCTGCGACCTAAAAATGTTGACTCACTCACACATATACAGGAGCAGTATGCTTGTTTCAGGTGAATCAAAGAACGCCAAACTTCTTGGAAAATTTTGTGGAACAGAGACGCCGTCATACGAAAGTTCTGGAGAAAGTCTGGCCATTGTCTTAATCAGCGACGACAACGACATCACC